ACATCTTGGTTGGATGTCGATGCCTTGTGATCATGGGACTGACTCTGGAATCACACTTGCAGAAGCATTTTCTTCATCACGACGTATTTCTCCGACTATATTCTTGTTCCCTTCCGGGCGCGAGGCACCGTCACCACCGCGCTTCAACAGCGAGGATTCGTCTTCTCCAAGACCGCCGACGCCTTTGTGTCACAACTCTCGCCGTCATCTCCCACCTTGCTCCAGGGCGGCGCGAGGCCGCCTGCGTCACCATTCTTCGACAGGTCGGCTCCCCCGACCCCGCCAGCCAAGGACATCCCTGAGCTCCAAGTGCGGACGTTCCGAAAGCTCCAGCGGAACAACATCCGGCCTCTTGTCGACCGTAAGATCCGTCTGGCCAACTGCGCCGGCAGCCGCGAGTACAGCAAGGCCAGCGACGAGCGGCTCAAGGACGACCTCCTCCAAGTCCTGCTGGCGACCGCGGCACCCACGACGACGCCTTCGTCGATATCGGTCACGGCCACGACGATATCGGCAGCCGGACTGAGTCTGAGCACGCCGCCACCGCCGCCACCAGCGTCCGGCGCCGACCTGGACTTTGGCGCCAAATTCCTCTCCCTGACCATCACCTCGGACGAACCCATCTCGGTGCTCCTGGAACATCGCCTGCTCGACCGCCTAGGCGGGTCGCTCCTAGGCGCCAAATCCGCCGAAGACGCCCTGATCCCCATCACGCTGGACCTGCGCGACCTCCCGCTCGACGCCACGGGCATTGTCTGTGGCGTGGCTGGCCGCCTCGCCCAGGGAAGCACCGATCTTCCAGACGGACAGGTCACTTTGAGCGGCAGCGGCACGACGACGGCGATCGAGATTGGCCCGCGCGACGAACCCGTCGAGATCGGCTTCCTCAGCACCGCCAGAGCAGGCACCGTCATCGTCCGCGCGTCCCAGCTCGAAGAGGCCCTCGAGGCCCTCGAATATGGCATGATGAGGGTCGTGGAGGAGGAGAGTGCTTGAGCGAGCGAGTGCGAGTATGAGTGCGTCGCGATCCACAAGCGTGAATAAACATGACGATCGTGGCGTATGTCATGGGCCTGCTTCCTGTTACGCAACGGTCAGGCTGGTAAGGTTACACATGCATGCACACATACAACACATACACACATGGAGAGATTGCGAGGAAGAGCACACATGTGTGTGTGTGTGTGTGTGTGTGTGTGTGTGTGTGTCATTGGAAGTGCAATGAAGAAATAACCCTTTGTGATCCTCCCTGGGGGGGCTGACTGGAAACACCGAAACCAAAACCGAAAAAATCACCTACGATTATCAAGTTGCGCTCACTACTTACTACGAGCACGAACGAGCACAAAACGAGTACGACTTGCACCTGCATCAGCATCAAAATCAGCATCAACATCAGCAATAGCATTATACCGGGGAAGGCAAAAAAGCAATCAAGTTTGGGTGTGTTTCGACACGAGGGGATGACGGACCTAGGGCAGAAACTCATGCATGGGACACGGGGACTCGGGGACTCGGGGAAAAGTGAAAGGTGAAAAGGACAAAAGTGGAAAAAAGAGACACATATATATACATTCATGTCATCCTCGATTATAATTCCGATTCCGAATTCGATATGGATGAGTGAGGTACATATGTACTCGGTCGGTCTGGTAAGAGATCGGTCGTTCGATTGGTACTGCAGCATGAATGTATGCATGGGATGGGATGGGATGGGGTGGGATGTGATAGCGATTGCGCTTACGATTCGGATTTGGCTTCTTTTGAGAATGTGTGGAAAAGTTCTGTTTGTGGGCGTCTCTATTCTTCTTCTCTGTGCTGTCTGCGTCTTCTCTGCGCCTTTAGTTGCTCGGGCCTTGCTTGGGCTCGATGGTGTTGTGGGGAGATGGAAAGGGTATTTCACGTGGGAAGGGCATGAGATCTCGGAGGGAGGGAGGGAGACTCGGAGAGAGCGAGAGAGAGAGAGAGGGGTCCGCAAAGTTGCCTGCTTTCAGCTAGCATAAATGTATCATGCTATACACATACATGTATCGCTTCCCTCTTATCCAGCGCCGTAGATCTTGACTACACCATCAGCGCCTCCGCCGGCCCAAAGACTCTGTCGCGCTTGCGCCTGGCTGCCTCCTCTCCATGTCACGACGCTCACTACCCTGTCAGAGTCACTGAGGTGGACTTTGCCAACGGCCTTGCCGGAGAGAACATCCCAGGCGCGTACGGTGCCATCGCTCTCGCTTCCGCTCAGTACCAAGCCGTCGTTGGCTCCGAGACAGCTCCGCAATCTGAGGTTCTCGTTCTTGTACCCGTCCGTGGCTTCTTCGGGAGGGAAAGCCCTCAAGCATGTTCCGTCTCCTCGATCCATTAACCGAATCCTCCCGTCCAGACAACCCACAAGCACTGTTTTAGCGTCTCTCGAGAGGTCCAGACTGGTCACGCTTCCGGGCATTACATCCACGGTCACTCTGCCCGTGCGGATGTCGTAGGATCGTACCCTGCCGTCTATACTCGCAGCGACAATCTCGTGTCCGTTCTCGGGTACCACGACACTCGAAATGCCATCTTTGGCCTCTTCGAGAACCATCAGTGGCCGTGCATCCCGACTCTTGACGTCCCACAATCTGACGCTTGTGTCATCACTCCCGCTGACGAGCACGCTGTCGCCGTCTCCAGCAAAAGCTACGCTTGTGATCCGACTGGTATGTCCCTGTGTGGTGTTGTTCCCAAATCGTCTCAGCGTGCCGTCCGCAGCCTGGACATCCCAGAGAAATACGGCGCGGTCACCGCCAACGGATGCAAAGGTCTGGTTGTCCTGTGCACAAGCGATATCGAGAATGGGGTAGCCATGCGCCGAGTACTTCTGGATCGGTGTAGACGAAGGGTTGTCAGGCTTGGAGGGCTCGGTGCGGGTGAGGTGAACTTGTCGGTCTGAGCTGCCCGTAAGGATATAGGTGCCGCCGAGGGAGGAGAAAGTAATGGCATTAATTGGGCCTGTGTGTGAGGCGATCTTATTCACCAGGGCAGAGGGAAGTTTCGGGACTGAAGGGCTCATGATGGCGACGCCGGTTTGAAGTGATAGACAAGTTGAAGGCAATACATGCAGGCATCCTTTGTAGATGGATAGTACGAGAGAGTCAATGGGCAAGGGACGAGGGCATAAGGCCTTACCATCGACGAAGGCATCGTCTACATCATCTATAGCGCTGTTTGCTGTCGAGCAATTGAACGCAGTGAGAACGGGTGATAGAGCATGAACATCTGATGCGCTTCGGTTTTCTGTAACTCCCAGGTACGTACCTTTCTTGTACGCCTAACTTGCTATTTCTGCGAGGTGGGAGAACTGCGTTCAGAGTCGGCTTGGCACTTGACTATGTTGTGCTTGGCAGAAAACCAGGCACCAGCGGCGCTAGTTGATCTTAGCGACCACTAAAGTGACTAGTGCCGTGCTAACTGATCAAAAATCTCGAGGTCTTGGCACCAACCGCCCTCGTCTCCCGACTACTTAAACCTCCATCTCTCCCTTTATCCCCTTCTCTTTTTCTTTTCCTTTCCTCAGCTCTGTGAGTACCATTACTCCTCCCCCCTACACTTTGATCGTCTGTGCTAATTGTTGTCTCTCAGCTTTGCCAACTGGCTTAGATCAAGTGTAGTATCTGTTCTTTTCAGTTTAATCTCTGAAACGACACCACGTGTGTCTAACTTTGATTAAATTTATTTTTGCACGTTGCTTGAGTCTCTCCGTGCTTGCATGGAGCGTCTCAAGCACCGTGTCCGAGGCCTCACACTGCCGCCTTGTGATGCGAAACAATCACTTTTCATCATGGTTTTCTTTGCCTTGCGCAAAGCCTTGGAGAAGAGTTGAAACTTGGTCCTCGAAAAGAGGTGAATGTGTGCCTTTGGCGTGGACACTTGCATTCAGATTTGATGATGAAGCTGGGCTCGCGGTCTTGCCGCAGCGTCTGCTCGCCCTCACCGCCCAATTCACCGCTCCTCCACCATCGCGTCGCACTCACGCGATCTCTCAGGATTGCTGCCTGTTAATTGTGAGGCAGAACCGACAGCAGCCTGGTGAGTGCTTGGATGTCACGACGCCACGAGACGAGAGAAAGCTGGCCCGCCTAATTCCAGTCTCTCGTCACATTTAACCAAGGCAGGTCTCACTCTCGTGTCTTCGACGAACCCTGCTATCCTCGCCGGTTCTACTGCTTGCTTAAAACGCAGTCGACTCTGGAAGTCGGACGATGCTGATCCCATCATCCCCTTAAGCTGGACTGAGACGTGACCTCAATGACAGACCTCGAAGCACAGACCTTCTCACGGTCCGACAAGGCCTCTCTGGCTGGACCATGGCACTTGTCCTACATAAATCTACGACGCAAATCATATTCGTCCTCCCCCACTACGCCTCTATCGTGACCTCCGCCACCGTTATCAACACTGACTTAAGTATTGACTTGAGCTCACACCGACTGTGCCGATGTCCTACCCAGTGGCTGGCAGTTTTTGATGGTCTGGTATACATGAAGATGAGGATATTACATTAGTTGGAGGTGCCTCAAGATTGTCCACAAGCTCTTGATTTATAGCAGGTATAATGTTCGAGATACATGGGTAGATTGGTGCTCTTTATTGCTGCCCGGCGGTTTGCCATCGACCCTGGATCGTCTCGGAGCACCTACCCGCCTTCAAGGAGTCTGGGTTGGTTGGTGGCTGCTGGTGTGCACGTACATGACCTTCGACCATTTCATCGTCGGGCGAATACCCTTGACGAAGGCCGCACAAAGTTTTAGGCTTGAGACAAGTAATGCATACCTACGCGCAAACCGCGCTGGCCGACTAAAGGGCCAACAGAATCTTCGGTAGCTTGGGTTATCCATCCCCTTATATTTGATTTTGATTGCCATGTACACATACTCGGCACATATTTACTGCAGACACAGCTTTCGACCACCAAGCATACCTACTTACGTGCATACACAAAGCCTCCTTGTTGTTGTTGTTATTTTTCATACATCCGCCCCCTCTGTGAGTTTCTTGCTCCTGATCTTGAGCGTGTCCAGCACCGACACCCAGATATCCTCCCACAGTCCCAGCGGCGGGTCGATGCTCTGCTCGTAGGCGTCGATGACGGGCTTGTCCCAGACGAGGTCGGCCAGGTGCGGCTGCACGACTTTGGTCCGCTTGATCACCTTCCACCCGATGTAGAGGACCATGCAGACGAAGATCATGGTGTAGTAGGTGAAGAAGGTGCCGATGTCCCACGATCCGGGGAGGAAGACCGTGTAGCCTTGCAGGACGACGATGATGGTCACGAAGACCAGGCCGAAGCAGTTGAGGTAGGGTTGACACCAGCCTGGAGGACCCGACAATGAGGGGATGGGGTCAGCGACATGATGTCTTGAAAGGGGAGGGGAGAAAGGGTTGAGATTGAATGAAATCTGGTCTGGTCTGGTCTGATCTGTCAAGGGCATACGTACCTCGATACGGAAGTGTTCTGCGGTCAACCCCCTGGGCTTTCAGGGCGCGGTAGAAAAACAGGTACGTTGTCCCCATGAAGACGTAGTTGAGCACCTGCGACGCCGTGACCAGGTTGACCAGCCACTTGATGGCCGTCGCCGACCCGTTGCTGACCTGCAAGAAGCTCAGGAAGGGAAACACCATGGTGACGGCGAAGCACCAGTACGGCACGCCGCTCGCCGTCGTCGCCTGGAGGAACCGGGGCGCCTGGCCCTGTAGCGAGAGGCTGTACAACGACCGCGTCGCCATGTAGCAGTACGAGTTGCCCGCGGAGAAGATGCTGGTCAGTAGCAGTGCGTTGACCAGGTGAGGGAGCCCCGTGATGCCGAGATTCTGCATCGCGATGATATACGGGGACGATGCGCCAGTGGAGCCGCCCTGCGTGGTGAGAACGTGGACCAGTGTCGCGCTATCGTACGGGAGGACGATCCCGACACAGATGGCTCCCAGGATGAAGAAGCAGCCGAATCGCCAGTATCTGCTGCGGTAAGTGACTCGTCCATGAGAGAGGAGAAAACCCAACTTACACTGTCTTGAATGCCGCCTTGATGGTGATACGGGGATAGACCGCCTCTGCCGACACCATGGCGATATACTCTGGGCCGCAGACGGTGAATGCCGCCACGAACAGGGATCCCAAGAAACCCTCGAACCTCCCCAGCGCTCCGGTGGTGATGTACTCCGCAAAAGCGCCCGGACTGTTCCAATACCGGAACCCGTACGCGTCGTGCTTCGGGTTGCCGCCCACCATGGTGACGAAGGTGAAGAAGAACAAGATGAAGACCAGAAACACCTTGCCCATGGACAGCCAGAACTCGGCCTCACCGAACCAGCGGACCGCGAAGATGTTGATGACGGCGTACAGCGTGATGCAGGCCAGGCAGACGGCCCACACGGGGATGTCGTCCCTCCAGAAGGTCAGGACGAGGTTGAGGGCCGAGATCTCAAAGGGGATCAGGATGGCTTCGTAGAGGAAAAAGTTCCAGCCTGCCACAAAGCCGAATGAGTCGTCGACCCATTTTCCAGCGAACCGGATGAAGGAGCCAGACACGGGCATGTAGACGGTCATTTCGGCGAGACTGCTGTTGATACACCCGATGACACAGGAATAGAAGAGGAACGAGATGAGCATCGACCCGGGACCGCCCTCGAGCAGGGCCCATCCGATACTGACGAACTGCGGATCTCTCGAGTCAACTCCATACTCTATACGGATACGACACCGACGCCCTTCGAGGACCGGGTGACCCAGATGGAAGAAAAGAGCGAACTCACGAGCGCCGTCCCAATCGTGCCTCCAATGGCAATGAGTTGGATCTGACGGTTGCGCAACGACCGACGGAGGTTGTCGACATTCTCGACCTGTCCGAGCCGCCCGCCGCTGGGGCTGAGCTGCAACTCGAGCACCTCCTGAGAGATCTCCTTGGACTCTGCCATTTTGGCCTCCATGTCTTCTTTTCTTCTGAGAAGCAACAAATATGCTACTACCCGTAGTGCCGAGTAGTGGTGGATGGGCGACCCATTCTGCCCGGCGTGTGGGACAACGACATGTCCTTTATAAACAAGAAACGCCTCCTCCGGTCTCCATGTAACACCCTCGGGAAGGGATCCGACATAGATTCACATATCCCCCCTTGTTTTACCCCTTATAACGGTAGTAAGATGTTATCAAACAGTCCAACGGCAACCTAACGGTAAAACTGGCGAAGAAACACGGCACGATTTCCTATAAAGAGGTGAGATTTATGGGTGAAGAGACTGGGGTCGGGACTTTGTTACTGCATCTGTAAACAGCCTGCCTCGCACTTTTTCGGTCAATACGGTAGATTGATAATTTGGAACTTTTGTCGTTATCTCAGTGATATCGGATCAGGAGCTGGGAGCTTATCGACAAAGAATATTTACTCGTATCTATGTAGGGCAGGGAGGCAGATATAGAATGGTACTCTGTAATCTGCTGGGAGGGCATGGATAATAGAGGGGAGTGGCTAGTGGCGTACTGACGTATTAACGGTGATGGAGGAAACCATGCTAGGTCCGTGTCGGGAGTTTGATCGTCTGGATGACCCTCGTCTTTCCATTTAATGTCAAGGCTGGGAGTGGGAGAGGTAGAAGAGGTGGTCTAGCACACAACGAACGACTGTCCGGACCCCTCCATGTGAGGATCTAATGACTCACTGTCATGGCAACAGAAGACACTATCGGTTCGCCTTTTCAAAGACAGACTGCAAGTCCAACGACGGATCCTCGTTGTCGACGACCCCCAGCACCGTCGTTGGCTTCTTGTACCCCAGCAGTGAGAGCATCTTGTCGCTCATGGTGAGTACTTTGCTCCTCGGCACCGCCAGGAATTGGTTCTCTTCCGTGCGCATGTTGCCCCGGATGAAGAACAGGCCGTGGACCTTGCGCACCTCGCCGGGGAGCGAGTTGTGGCCGCCCCCGTGGTAGCAGGATGCCAGGAAGATCAAGGCGGAGCCCGGTTCCATTTCTTTTCATGCGACAACAATAACAACATCATCAGCTCACACCAGACCAAGGGACCACGATGGGGGATTAGAATTGCAGGGGCTTTTCAAGAGGGAGGGGGAGACTTACCGGCAAAGCATACCTCGTCCGTCCTTGGACGTCGGGTATCGTCCCATTTGTGAGATCCTGGCACGAACATGGTGGCTCCGTTCTGTCGCGTCGTCCTCGACCCGGCGATCAGACATCCAAACTGGCTGGCCTTTTTGAGGTCAAAGCTTTCTCCGCCGTGTCGGATCCCGTGCACGTTGTCGTCTCGGTGCAGCCGTTGTCGAGGCGCCCCGTGGCCGATGTAGAAGGTGATGCTGATGCTCAGCAGCGGGTCGATGGTGTTTTCCTCGACAATCTCCTCGCGGATCACCTTGAATTTCTCCTGCAGGATCGACGTCCGCAGTTCCTCGAGCACGGGCGATTCAGCACAGATCTTGGCCATGGTCGCAGACTTGCCGACCAGGCCCGGGATGGCCAGCGTTTCCTTGGGGATGATGTGCAGTGCGCTCTTCTCGGTCGACCGGGTTTGTGCGCGATGGGCCTCGACGTCGCGGTCCACGGCGGCCATGTCTTCAGCCGTGGCGAATCCCGTCAGGATCACGCCCCCGTCCCGCTCGAGTACACCCAGGATCTCATCGATCGGGGCGCTCGCAGGGATCGAAGTTATGGAGACGGACGGTTCGTATGACGGGTCAATGGGCGCTGGAGGCCCAAACATTGAGATGCCCATCTTTTTTCTACGTGCTGAGAGCGAGTATTTAAAGGTCTCCTGTACCAGAAGGTGCTTTACAGAACGTTGCAGCGAAGAAACTGGTCAGTAAACAAATTTCTGGGACAATCTCTTCGTAGCAGATCCCTTGGAACGAAATTTACCTTAAATCCCAAGGGTGACGTCTGAGAAACGCCACAGGGCGTGAAATGGAGGTCGAGGCTGAGCGCGTGCGGCAAGCAAGTTGGACCTCGCTCGCACCCAATGATAAGCCTGGGAACCCCTGGAAACGTGGGACTTTGTTGCCCGTTTCGCCCCTTCTAACGGCGATGTGCGTCTCTGTAAACTGCCCAATCTGGGGAACATGGTGGGGGGGGGGGAGACTTTTCAAGATAACACTACGGTATGGTAGGAATAAGGACGATCTGATAGGACATATTGTCACACTGTCAATAGAACGATAATTCCCGGTTCTACAGGAGCGTCTTTTGGCTGTCCAACCTGACTCGAAGTCACAACTGGCAGGGCGAAGAAGAGGCTCAATTGTCTGTCTGTACAGCACCGATTTCACAGGATGCCATGGCAGGACCGGCTGAGCTGCCTTTAGTGTGGGATCATCCTTCTTCAGTCTTGCGATACCTGGACGAATCTGGAGAGTATCGAAAATAGTTGGTGTTTGCTTGCCATTGACTTGAGGCTTATTGTTGTTATCGAGATCGGGGATATCAACGTCTCTGTTCTAGACCCCTTGAGATAATCCCGCAATAACTTGTTCGCAAGTGGTGTTTTGAGCGGGTAGGGTACCGATGCATTCAAATTGTCCTGTTCGCACCGATAACTCTGCCAGGAGATGGCCGATCAAAGAGGTCTATCCGAGGAGTGGATTTAACTTCCCGAAATGGCAATTTCTCTGCGGGCGATAAGGGACAAGGCTGCATTTGCTACCCGCACCCGCCTGGTCCAGATCAAGGGAGTGACTTCGCTTGGTTGCTGGGTCGCTGAACCGCATCTCGTACAAGAGATTACGAGCGAGTGTAATTACTTGCGCTAACCACAGCTTTAGTCGCTGCTCGATGGTCCTTGATGGTCGTGGTCCATTCGATTGAGAGTGGGAGTGACAGAAAGCGAGGGTCAATCGGAAAAGACATCGATAAAGTCCCTCTTGCTTGATCTTGGATGACTGCTACTCGGTGTATATCCAAGACTGAGCAATGAACCAAGACTTCCCCTCCCTGCCTGCAATATTCCGCAGCCCTTTCTTGCTTCTCCATCCCCCACATTCTCCAGCATTTCTTCCCCGTCGTCCCTCTCCACATCAGCCTCTGGTGTGCTCGGCTGTTCTCCCATTTGTCGTCCGTGACTGGCATCCAAGCCTCGACTCAATATGGGGACTTTTCGCGGGGACTTTTGGACGTCATCACCATATGCCGCCACCCAAGAACCAATGACTCGAAGATGAGGTTGTGGAGACATGACGGCGGCTGGAGCTGCGAATATCGAATATGGAGAAGCTTGGGAAATGGCTTCAGTGCGGTTGCTTGTTCGAGACGTGAAATAAAACGACATCGCGAGAAGCATTTGGACAACATGCCGTTTGCAGGTGGAATAGCACGACAGACACAACCCTCACGGCCAAACATCTTAGCAGCACCATGGTCAAAGCACACGATCTCTACAACGATTTCGCGGCGGCGTCACGACCGTTCCGGGCCGATGCTGATATCGCTGATGTCGAGGTTGAAGGCGAGATTCCCAAGGAACTCGATGGCACGTTCTACCGGGTATGAGTCCCTCGTCCGTGCTGATGAACGTCTGGAGGAACGCGTCCAGAATGCTGAACGTCCCCCTTCAACAGGTGATGCAAGATCCATACTATGACCGCGATTACTACCTCGATGGGGCCAAGACAATCCCCTTTGATGGCGACGGGAGTATCAGCGCGTTCCGCATCAAGGACGGGAAAGCATCTTTCCAACAACGCTATGTCATGACCAAGCGTCTGGTGGCGGAGAGAAAGGCCGGACGGTCCCTGTTCGGCATGTATAGGAGCCCCTTCTCCCATCATCCCTGTGTCCGGGCGGTGGCGGACACGACCGCCAACACCAATGTGATTCTTCATGCGAAGAAATTGCTTGCCCTGTGTGAACACGGGCCCGGATACGTGCTCGATCCCAGTAAGTCTCCCTCACCAACGCGCCAAACCGCTTGGTGGTTCTCCGTTGCTGATCCTGGAGCAGACAGCCTGCGCACTATCGGCATTGATATGTTCCCTGGAGAAATCGATCCAAATCTTCCATTCACGGCACACCCACATGTATGTTCCCTCTGTGTCTGCCAAACTTTGGAACGTCCTTTCGCTGACAAATTTTCGAGGTTGACCCGGTCACTGGGGAACTATGTGCCTTTGCATACGGCCTGAAGGGAATTGGAACGCCTCAAGTAAAGATTCTCCCTTCATGCGGCTAATGATACATACACGAAACCCCTTGCTAAATACAAGACCAGATCTCGGTGTACCTTATCGACAAAGACGGCAAGAAGACCTTCCAGCGCGATTTCGAGTTTGATAAAGACGAGATCAACGACTCTGGCATGATTCACGACTGTGCCATCGTGAGTAAACAAGCCTTTTCCTGGTCTCAGGAGAAAAAGACCTCGTCAAAGCTAATGAGTGGACCAGACGGAGAACTATATCATCCTCTACAGAATGCCGTTCATTGTCGACACCAAGAATGTCGAAGAGCCCGGAAAGCATCAGTGGTGAGTTTAGCATCTCTGAAGGCTGACACCGTGTATATGTGAGTGTCAAGCCTGATCATTCCGGAATAGGTATTACGATGAAAAGGCTCCCGCGTGGTTTGGTCTTGTCCCGCGCCGCGACGCCACGAAACCCGTCCGGTGGTTTCAGTACAAAAACTGCATGGCCATCCATAGTGGGGGATCTTTTGAGGAGAATGGAAAGGTGTACGGAGGAGGCCTTGAGATTTGCTCGTTGGATGTGTTGTGAGAAAAGCCGGCTGATCAATTTGTGTGTGCGCCAGATATTTCGATTCTTCCACGGCCTCACACAACGCCTTTGCCTTCTTGCGTATGTTTGATTTCTCTCTCTAGTCTTTCTGTCGTTTAGCTACTAACAACCCTCTTCAAAAGCATGCCGACATGGCCCGAACCCGCCACCGAACGACATCACCGTCAACTATATTCGATGGTGCATCGATCCAAACGCGGTGTCTGACAAGATGGAAGACCCCGGTAGGCCATCTCCATGACTGATAGACCGCATCTCATGGCTGACGCTTGGAATCAAGAGGTTCTGCTGAGTGTGCCTTGCGAATTTCCCCGGGTGGATGAGAGGTTCCTGATGAAGAAACGTGAGTTACGCCGTCACGCTCTACAGAGGATGAGTCCGAACAGCATAGCTGATCAACTTGTATGCAGCTCGGTACACGTTCTTGGACTGCTTCAAGCCCGAGGCGGGCAACGCGGCCCAGCTGTACCAGGGCCTCAACGCCCTGGCTCGCATCGATTCGCAGAAACAGGAAATCGAGTACTTCGTGCCGGGTCCGGACTGTCTCGTCCAGGAGCCGGCTTTTAGCCCGAGAAGTCCTGATGCGCCGGAGGGAGACGGCTTCTTGATCACCATGGTCGACAACATGGCTCATCACCGGAACGAAGTGGTATGTCTTGATCTCGTCTTCACACACACCGACGTTATATTGAGGCAACTCACGGTGTGTCTCGCCCTCGAGTCGAAGTGATACTAACGTCGCTTGTAGATCGTCCAAGATACTCGCGACTTCCAGAAAGTCGTGGCCAAGATTGTCCTGCCTTTCCGTAAGTTTGCTGAAAACCCCGAGTCCGAGAATGATAGGAGGGAGATGGTCAGTTTCCCCCGGGCGAGACTGAACGTGATTCTAGGCCTAAGGTCTGCCGTCCACGGCAACTGGGTCGACGCTGAGCGTATTCCTGCGACCGAGCCAAGTGTCATTCAACCCTTTGCAGACATTTACCCAGATGTTCCGACGGTGCGGGTGTGAATCATGCCACCGAGGATTGCGGATGCGGTGGTTTATCGAGAGGGACGACCCTGCATGTTCTCTCAGTGCCATGGTCGGGGTGAAGGAGGAAACCCAGTACTCTCGCGGTGGCTGGCTTGTACAAAGAGTAGTACTTCCGCCAGCTGGCCTGTGTCAACTTTTGTCAGCGCATGTTTCGACTGTCAGGGAACCATTGCAGGTTGTTGGTTTCTTCCATGGCGGAAGGGGCTGGTGTTTCATCCTCCAATCACCTCAAGTCGACTTGTGAGGGCTAGCCTCCTCAATCATATACAGTCGATCTCTGTCTCGGAGTCCATCTCAGATAGTACGCCGTGATACATGAGAATCTGTATTCAATTGATTATCTACTTGGAAGTGTGCATACTGACAACTGTGCATTGCGGTTTATGAGGCAAAGTGGCACAAGCAGTGAAACACAGGAATACAGGACTTCAGGAAGAGTGCCTTCTCATGAACAACGATCGTATGCCCCAAACGATATCCAGAGGAAGGACTTCGAATGTATCCGTCTGAGTGTAGCTAATTCTCTCCCTAGCTGCCGTCCAAAGGCTTTGAAACATCTTTGACTTGACTTCTGTCAGCTTTCTCTCATCTATTTGATCGGATCTATCACTCCAGCAGTGAGGATGTGGAGGGGAGAACGGTGAGAACTTCCCCGGACAAGAGATCCAGGAATGTGGGGCACAGAGTAAACCCGGGCTCTTCAATGTCCAGTCAAGTCGAGGTTGATTACCTTTATCTATTGAATAATAGTGTTTCCTCGCCCACAACCGGGCACCACACACAGAAGTAGTGAGGGATTGAGGAGGAGGAGGAGGTCCCCAGCAAATACTCATCCTTCTGGACCCCAATGTAAGAGGTCATTGAACAGATATTTACTTCAACATGCGACATCGAATCAACAAGGAGTGCCGTCTCTGTCGGCGCCAGTTTTCAAAGGCAGAACATCTCCATCGCCACATGCGCAGTCGTGAGTGATCAGTCCCTGGCGAGAAGGGGGTGCGAAGGGGTGGAGGACAGGGCTAACCACCAACCACGGGTCCAGATACGGGGGAGAAACCCTTTCGATGCCTGCACTGCCAGAAACACTATGGGAGGAGGTAAGCTGCCATCCTCTGTCGCGACAGGATTTTGGCCATTGACGAGTTGCTCTGCCCTCTCCCCAGGGATGTCCTACGGCGACACATACGAGATCATCACGGCGAGGCGGGACAATCCTTGGATGACGCCGGCGGAGTCGAGGTATATGAACGCAATGAGGGCAATCTTCTTGCAGGCCACGCACAAAGCCTTCGCTCTCCTAGACGAAATCTGGGGACAAGCCTCAATCCTCCTATCTCGTCCACCTTACAGAGATCGAACAATGTCGTCGACGGTGCCAACTCCATCGACGATCTTCCCCCTTTAGCGGGTCTCGCGTTCGAGGAAATTTTCGACTCGATGACCGACCCGGTAACATCTGCTGCTCTCATAGACGACGTGATGGACGCTGCTGTCTATCCTCACCACACATCACAGGCCATACCTGAACAGGCCTACGAGGAAGCAATCGAGAGTTTCGGTGTGACGGATGTGATCCCAATACCTAGAGTTAATGAGGCCAACGACATAGATGCGTATGTCCACTCCTCAGACAGCAATATCGGACAGTTGACCACTACTGAGTTTCTCGACGGGACAGGTAACCAGCATCTCCATGACTACCTATCCCCGACCACCTCTTTTGCCCTCACTTTTACAGACACAAGCCTTCATGGACCCGAGTTGGGCGAGCAATTGGAATGGACTTCGCAGGAGACGGTCCAAGAACAACTGGAGTCGATTGAGGCTAATTCGACACAGCACTATCCTGGGGACAAGCGATATCAAGTTGAAATTCCAGAATCTGCGTCGACTTCAGGAATCAATGGCAGGTCGTGGTTGAATTTACCCTCTTCCCGACTGCCGAAGCATATCTCTCCGCGTGAATCTGTTTGGCCATCCAAAGTGATGGGGGGAGGACATCAACAGACCTCGCGCAATTGGTGGGAATTTGTCATCTGCTGCTGTGAAGCCAATATCTTCTGCCATCAAAGTGTTCATACTGCCACAGAGTCGACAGAGAGCCCGACATTCGGCTCGCACGCATTTGGCTTCAATGAGGAGTGCCGTTCACAACTCATGCAAGCTTTCTGTCTTTCGCAATCGAGCCGTCGGCCTGACGTGGCGGATACCCTTCCATCACAACCACCATGGTCTCGTGGAGGCCGTCCATCCAGCTTGGAAGCACAGTTTCCATCCCTGGAAGCTCTGTCCGCATCCCTCGGCCTCTACTTTCGTCACTTTCACCCGCTCATGCCTTTTATCCACCGTGTGACTTTTCACGCCCCCACGGCAAACCTTTCGGTCCTCTTCGCCATGTGTCTGATCGGCCTCATGTTCCTAGACGAGGCACGAGCGAAAAGATATATCGGAACGATACTCCCTACCGCGATTCAAACATGCAGGAGAGACTTGGACCGACACGCTCATCAGACGCCCTTCTCGGCCGAGGTGCTGGCCTCGCTGGCGTCCGCCATGCTGCTCCTCTGCATATGTCACATGGCCAACTTTTACGACGAGACGTCTCGGTTGATGTACATCGAGGCCATGTCACTGTCGCAGCGCCGACATCTCTTCCCGATGGACGACGGCAACGAGGCCCTCAGAGGCTCACTGAACGGGGCGAGTCAGCGGGAAAAGTGGAAAGCGTGGGCCCGTGTCGAAAGCACCAAGCGGCTCTGCGTGTGCCTCTTAATGGGCGACGCCATGTTCTCCCACAAGTACGAGGTCAAGCCTATGCTCCGCTTCGAACTGCTCGAGTACATTGTCCCGAGCGACCTCGCGACCTTTGAGGCTCCAAACCAGGCCGTATGGTGGAGGCTCTTGCTCCAGTCGCCGTCGGGGAGGATGGTCACGCTGCACACGTTGAGTCTTCCGCGGTCAATCGGCGACTACGAAATGCACGGGCTGTTGGCAATCTGTTGGGCTCAAGTCTTGAAAGGACAACAGCACCGCCCAGGCGGTGCTGTCGACTCGGACTGCGCTCGGGCAGGCAGGCATTACAGGCCGCTTGACGACCATTCTCGCACCCAGCGAACAGCCGCCGTGCTCTCGGGCCTGTACGATGCATACAAAGACGCATTCGCATCCCTCAACCCCAACTGTCTGGTGTCCTGGCACAACACGTGCATGAGCCTGGCGGCAGATCCGCTCCTCTTCCAAGACGCCGCCGGGAGGAACGGTGCCGCGCGGGCACGGATAGCCCGCAACGCCGTGGCTCAATGGTGCAAAACCCCAACCGCCCGACGAGCATGCCTCCACGCCGCGCAGACGTTCCGCATCATGAGCCAGCGAAAGATCTCCGAAGGCATGATGTTCCAGTCGGAGACGGCGCTGTTCGAGTCCGCCCTCGTCCTGGGTCTGTACCTGTACTTGAGACCCGCCGTGCCTGAGGTGTCGGCGTGGACATCTTGGGTCGTCTCTGGAGGAGGGTGTGAAGAAGAAGAATACGAACTATTGGACGATGTGGATTGGACACGGATCGGAGTGCTGGGCCTGAGCAATTCGGTGGAATATCTGGGCGACGACGTTCCACGTTCATCAGATTCAGACTCCCCAAGCCGACGTTTCATACGGGACGGCGACCGCACGCGCCTTTCCTTTGACGGCGTCCCATGCGCCCCCGGCTTCGCATCTGCTCAGGGCATCTTCCTCGCCTTTTCCACCCTGTTGAGCCAGGTCGCGCCGTGGAACGCTGGGAGGTATTGTCCGATCCTGCGAAGCTTGAGTGATTGTAACTTGTAGTTGACCAACCAGGCTGGCGGGGCTTCTGATAGCCTGGCTGGTGCAGACGAGTTCGGTCCTTGAGCTCCTAATGCGCCGAGATCGAGGTTTGTATCCTGTCAGAAGAAAATGTTGTAGATTTCAATCACTCGAAGTCGGGGCTTGGTCTGGCTACGGACTTTACAGCACCAACTCTACGAGGTACACAAGTCGATAACTAGTGAGCGAACACATTATGATTTGTGACGCTATTGCCAATGTCCCGCCACTGACGTCAGTCAGAATGCGGGCCTGAACTGGCCGAACAAATCTGGGCAGCAGTCTATAACCTGGATGAAACTGAATGCAGCAACCTTCAAGTCCTCTCTTGTAGACACAAACTGGACCAGGGATTCACGTGACGGTTTTTTGCAATGGAGTCCAGGTACAAGCACATCTAACCAGACTCATGAGTTCGAGGACTTAACACAAGGATAGGATCGATGACAATGACAGGGATTCCCACTGGACCGAAGTCATGTCCATGTCTGAGCACATTAGACGCCGTGCTATGCAGGTATGAGACGATGTTCACGATCTGCTTCCTCAGAAACTGGGCCAGGTTGTCAATCTCCGGCCGTCGTTGCTGACACGGCCGTGTCAAGCAATTGGTAGATGTTTTTGAGGAATACAAAGATATAGATGGGTACCCTCCATTGTGGGGGGACGAGGTGAGCCACCGACAGATCATACACTGAGATTATGAGCCTAACAAAAGGACCCAACAGATTGAGTACCAACTCGTGGCATATGATGATTCAAATAAGCGGGTAAATCTGCTCCTCAAACAGGAATATGTGCTCAACAGTCTGGAGAGAGTACACACGCGCGCTAATAACACCAGTCCAGCTGCAAGGACTCCCAGGTATTTTCCCCTCCTTTTCCTTTCTTCGAGTACAATCAGATCTCACGATAGTTAGCAGCGGTCAAGTAGTCACCCCGGAATTCCAGCCAGAATTTGGAAGCTTCATGGTCGAGGCTACACCGGGAAAGCCTTATGATAGCAGCGGGATCGAGAGCTTGCTAAGTGTAGAAGAAAACATGCGAAAGCGGTGAGAACAGCGTGTGGCGTTGGGAGACATCGTCTGACATGCGATACCATTAGGAGACGAATGATACAAGCATGCCTTGGTCCAGGAGAAGCAGTCGTCACCATGCCAGGGTTCCCACGCCTGGGTGCTCCAGGGCTCTACACGGAACCTGCCCTGCCCACTCACGGACTCTTGCTGCAATCACAGTTCCTTCCGGATGGATTGATCAGCACACATGACCGTTATGGTACAATTCACGATAACATGTCGGCGCGCCGTGCAGGGCGTCCATGCAGGGTCAAGATACCAATCTACCGGGACAAGAACACGCCCTGGCCGTGGAGGGAGTCACTTCAATTTCCTCACCGGAACAATGCTCAAGAGGACGATGCAAGGCAGAGTCACGACAATTCAGCCGAGAACTTTATATATGGCGATAGCATGGCATTCGGGCCGAGCTTCTGCGGGCTCCAGGTCACGATGCAAGCGCGAAACCTCCGAGAAGCACGTTACCTGCACGATCAGTTATGTCCGCTGGGCCCCATCCTCATGGCATTGTCAGCGGCGTCGCCCTTCTTTCGTGGATTTCTCACGAATACAGACGTTCGATGGAATCAGGCGGCTTCGGCGGTGGATGATAGAACGACGAATGAGCTTCATTCAAATGTACTAGCCTTTGAAAAGCCGGCTCGAGCCCATTGACTGACGACGAAAGCAGACTATCAAGCCCGCTGGCTTGCATGCACGCTGGTCATCGACGGCAATGTACATCTCTGACGACTCGCAACTTCAGCCGGTCTACAACTCACCTGAGATTGAAGCTGACCCAGCAATCATGCGATACCTCGAGCATAACAGCAGCATGGATTCCCTGCTGGCTTCGCACTACGCCAACATCCTTACTCGCGATCCTATCGCCTTGACAAAGAACGAGCTCCGATCCTATGAAAGCCTCGATCTCTTTGAGATTCTCCACTCTGCAGTCTGGCCGCATGTCGACTTCAAACTGCCCTCTAAAGACGGTGCGGCAGGATGGCGGGTTGAATTTCGACCCCTGGAAGTCCAATTGACCGATTTCGAAAACGCGGCGTTCGCGGTGTTTGTTACCTTAGTCGCCCGCACTATTTTGCACTACGGCCTCAACTTCTACGTCCCCATAGATAAGGTCGCAGAGAACATGGAGAGAGCACACACGCGAAATGCGGTCCGCGAGCAGAAATTCTTCTTCCGTCTGAAGGTGTGGCGGGCGATATTAGATGAAGAAGCGCCGGGATCAGAGAATCCAGACCAGGAATATACACTTATGACCATGACAGAGATCATGAATGGATCTGTGAGCTTGCAAAACTCAAAGGGTCACTCGTTCCCGGGCCTTGTCCCGCTCGTGCAGTCCTACATTCTAGAGGTCTTTGGGAGTGTCGCCGGTGATGATAGACGGACGATAGACAAGTACCTGGACATCATTCGAAAAAGGGCCACGGGGGAAATGCTCACACCGGCGAGCTGGATGCGACAGTTTGTGCAAGGGCATCAGGACTATCACCACGATAGCTTCGTCTCGGAGCCTGTCTGCTATGATTTGATGAAAGTCGTCAAGGCTTTGGGAGATGGGAGGATTGATCCTGCAGAGCTGTTTCTTTGTGGATATGGGACGAAGAAGGACCATGTCTAATCTGGCTGTTTTAAAGTCGATGGCCAAATCCCCGTAGCCCTTATTGGCCAGCCACCGTGCCAAGGCCCGCACCGTTAGAACAGCGACACTCCCCATGGGGTATCACGGTATTCAGAATACCGGTTTCGGAACCACCCTTTTGGGCTCTTGATTCATTCCGAGGGTTCACTTCGCCGTGGTTATTCGGTTAAGGCGGCTCATTAGCCAGCGTATTGTGCGTTTGTGTTGAATAATCGAATTTCTTTGTGCACACGCTTTTGTCTCTAGATATTAAGCTCATCTGCTCCCTTCTGGCCTCTTCATTCTCTCCTACCTCGAGATCCCTACAATCTATCGTCGCCAATACCTCAAGATTTCATCATGCGGGCTGCCGACCATGATTGACGCTGGACAGAGTCGCCCCGGGACGAAATATGCGACCTTTGCTAATCAGGCAGGGGCTTCCGTACTCAAAAATCCTCCGAGCCCCAGTTCTTTGTGTCCTGCCCAGCACCGACCGGGAACAAATCTCGGCAGGTCACTGAGTTGTTGACAACCCCAATCCAGCAGCAGCCGTTATCGCCAACCCTCGCGTCAGGCGCCCTGGGGTGTTTGGAGGCTTAATGTTTCAGACTCCTCTTCGCGAGTTGGGGAAGAACCAAACGTCACGCCAGCCACCAAACTTGCTCGATAACACCGACCATACTACCGCGGTTATTACTCTCCCCGCATTCTTCAATGTCGAAGTTCTGCAAGATGCCTAGGCATTTCGGTGCCTTGCTATGGATCATTCCAAATCCTTGTACGGGGATGATGGCCGTTTTCGACCGATGCATATTCTTGGCTGTGGGATCCTCTCCCACAAACACGAGCAAAAGGTCAAACCTGAGTTGCTCCACTGCCCGGAGAGCCCGCAATTGCCACCCCTCTCAATGCGGATTCCCACGGTTCTGAACACCACCAGCTTTGAGGGATGACCTGCCTCACGATTACGAGAAAATGGGTAGGCCAAGACCATACTAATGATGCACAATCAGCAATCTTTTCCGCACAGGTTGTGGACACGTTGCCACCACGTTCCATCGCTTGTCGATCGACTGGATCATGGGCTCAGGTCAGGCCAGGATGTGCTGGTGGTGCTGGTAACAAGGGGGGGCTTTCGCTTCCGTTGATGAACAGCCCAAGTCACGCCAGTCCATGCAGCCGACAGGCTGAGAAGGAAAAACAATCTGACTGAGTTTGGAGAAGCTTACTCGGACAGACTGACTTATGGGTGCTGGGTTTGGTTATCTACCCAGTGGGGTTTCCAAGCTCTCACCAAGACTTTTGGCGGCAACAAGTGACGCTCGCCCAGTGACTAGGAGCCACGGATGGGCAAGTCAAGCACCCGTATTCAACCCTATCTGGTGCTTGCTACACCTCCAAGAAGGCGTGGATGCAATGTCCATCATTCGTTCGGGTGCCAGTAATGGCGTGTGCCACGCCCTCAAATCTTATGCCACCAGCATATCTCTTCCAAGAAGCCAGGAATCACAGTCGATGGAAATTGACACTGCTGGGAACAATTCTGGCTGGACCGGGCGATTGCCTTGACTAAAGCACAGCCTACTATACTTCTGGTCAAAGGAGCTCACTTTCGGCCCACAAACCCATACCCCGGACTCCACCGGAGCGCCCCAAACCTGGGGTCATTTCAACCTCCGGCACTCACCTGGTAGGTTGGTTTTCTCGCCCGAATGCACCCTCCTTCTAGGGGGGCTACCCTCTTTTAGGTGGCACCTCGAAAGCCTGGGCATCTGTTCAGGTTTTGGCGAAACGACAGGTTGATCCCTGCTGCTGGTGCATTCATGACCAGGGTATTTTCGATCCTGTGCTCCGGTGGAGTGAACTCGACTACGCTGGTTTTGGTCTCTGGACCTCGCTTTAGTGTCTTGTCAATATCACACAATCCCTCCTTTGCCTGATCAAAACGTGGATCGAGCATACTCGAGCATAAAGGATCCAGCGTCCCCGTCGTAGGAAGTCTGCCTCACTCAGTTTTCCCCTCACTCTTTCCCAGAAATCCCTCTCTCTCTCTCTCTCCTATCGTTCTGTGCCGCTCCTGCAAAACACACCCAACATGGCCGCCGTCCCGGTCCCTGTCGAGAAAAACTTCGACATCAATGAACTCGAGCGTGCTGATACCAGCGTGTCGGCTGACTCGGACAAGCTGAACGACGCGAGGATCAATGCCTTCACCCCAGAAGAGCAGAAGAAGATCATGTGGCGTATTGACAGACGGCTCGTGCTCACGTTGGGCTTTCTCTACTGCGTCTCCTTGATGGATCGTACCAACACTGGTATCGCCGTCGTCGCCGGGATGGGAGTGGATCTCGTTCTCATCGATAACCGGTACTCGATCCTCGTGCTTGTCTTCTTCATCACCTACGTCTTGCTGCAACCTCCAGCTACAGTCGTCCTGCGGAAAATCGGTCCCCGCAAGTTCTTGCCCACCATCACCTTACTCTGGGGCATGACTATGTGTGCCGCCGGCTTCGTCAAGACCTGGACCGAATTGACTGGTCTTCGTGTGATTCTTGGTGTGTTTGAGGCTGGCTTCTTCCCAGGTACGTCCCAAAGCAAAAATGGTCGTGGTTCTCAGATGGGGGAGTATGAGTTATCAACGCAGAAGAAACCCCGAGTCCACCGACCATTATTTTTTCCCGCCATTTCTGAGCTGACCACGGCATTCTAGGCTGTGCCTATCTCCTTAGCTGCTGGTATCCTCGTTACGAACTCCAGAAACGCAATGCCGTCTTTTACCTCATCGGATCCATGGCGTCCGCCTTCGCTGGTATCCTCGCCTATGGTTTCTCCCAACTGAAGAACCACGGCTCCGGTCCGAAATGGTGGGGTCAGCATTATGGACCAACTGCAGCAGACCCGGATGCGCCATCAGGCATTCTCCCTGGTATCGCGGGCTGGAGATGGATCTTCATCCTTCAGGGTGCCCTCACCTGCGTCCTGGCCATCGGCTCCTACGTCCTGATTGTGGATTTCCCTGAAAAGGCCACAAACTCCTTTGGGATCAAATTCTTGAACCAAAAAGAAGTTGATTTCGTTGTCGCCCGGATCGAAAAGGATCGCCACGACGCCATCCCCGAGGAATTCAGACTGGGCAAATACTTGAAGTGTGCTTTGGACTTGAAGGTCTGGGGTTTCGCCGCGCTCTTTGGCCTTACAACGACAAACACATATGCCATTGCGTATTTCCTGCCTATTATTCTCAATGACGGCATGGGATTCGGTGTCGCCGCCTCGCAGTGCCTCATTGCGCCTCCCTACGTTCTGGCGGCCATTGTCATGTATCTTTTCGCCTACCTTGGCGACAAGTTGCATCTTCGATCGCCATTTATCCTTGCAAATGGTTGCCTGCTCCTGATTGGTAAGTGTGATGTCGCGCCTGCGCTCTTTTTTCAACCCTCTAATACCCTCCTCACAGGCCTCCCTCTTCTCGGCTATCTGGACAGCGTCCCAGCTCGCTATTTCGGCGTCTTTGTCGCGACAACGGCGTGCAACGCCAACGTGCCCTGCGTTCTCACTTGGCAAGCGAACAACATCCGTGGACAATGGAAGAGAGCCCTCTGCTCGGCCACGTTGGTCGGCGCGGGAGGTATCGGAGGAATCATCGGAAGTACGGTTTTCCGCGAGCAGGACAAGCCCGATTACCACCCAGGCATCCTCACCTGCATGCTCTCCAGCGCCCTGATCATCCTCATCACCCTGGCTTTGGATTTCAAGTTCTATCGGGCCAACCAGCGAGCGGCCGCCGGTGGCAAGGTGATCGAAGGCCTCGCGGGATTCCGCTACACATACTAAGCGAAACGCGCAACTGAATGGCTCCCCGCAGTTCTCCATATCCACCGCTACCTCTGAATATGTATGAAATCCCTGCTGTCACAGGGGGGAAGAGATACAAAGCGGTTCGCAATCGAGTCTATACCAGCGGGAGGGGCGGAACGCAATGCCAAGCATCACGTGACGCGCCTCCGCGGGACGACGGCAGGACTCGACTCGTGAGAAACGCCTTGGAACTTTTGACAAGATAGTATATACTTTATTAAAAGATACATTATTGCTTCATCCTACGTGTCTCATCTCAGAATGTGATACAAAAATAAATCGTGGCAGGGGGGACACAAAGCGGCCGCTGTTCCCGAACGAACCCTGGCAATTCTGCAGGTGAGAGTGAGAGACTGAAGAGTCAGCGAACTCGTTCGTGGTCCCCTGGTCTCTAGTCTCAAGTCTCAGACAGGGGGCAGGGAACCGAGTTCCATATCCGTTGGAAGGGTATGTATGTAGGTAGGTATCTACCGAGCATGTCCGCGTACCGAGCCCTCGGTATGAGATACACACACACACACACACACACGGAGTACAAGTGCCTGTACCGAGTACTCTCGCAAGTCCTGGGCCATGGCTGCAAATCTGCCTCGTCATGCACCTACCTAAATATTGAAAGACGCTTTGCCATTGTCAGAAGTCGAGCACGAGGACCCGAATGCCGGTACAAGTACGGATCCTATCGCTTACTCACCGATCCCGTCCGTCACACGCTCCCACTGCAGGCACCAGCGCCATGTATGTACCTTCAAATACCCTACTCGTCGATGTTTTTGCCCGTCTGCTGGTGTGGCGGCGATTTCCAGAACGCATTCGCTGTAGGACAGACGGATTGTCCTGTGTAGAGAAGAGAATACGAGTCAGCGACGGGCTAGGGATGTAGAAAGAGGAACTTACTTCGTGGATGCCCTGATATACTCGTACGAGTTCGATTTTTTTTTTTGGTATATCGAATATCGAAGATCATATATCGAGTTTCGAGTATCGAATATCAATCATACCTTAAGAGCCTCTACGAAGTTCCTCTTTCTACATCCCTAGCCCGTCGCTGACTCGTATTCTCTTCTCTACACAGGACAATCCGTCTGTCCTACAGCGAATGCGTTCTGGAAATCGCCGCCACACCAGCAGACGGGCAAAAACATCGACCAACAAGGAGCCACCTCGTCCACGAACTTGATGATTTGGATACATATAACAAGAGACAAGGACCAAATACTGCTGATGAGACTATACATCCTAGCAGCTTGGAGTGGATTTCCTTGAGGTTGTACACACGGGAGACACGCTCCTAGATCATGGCCCAGCTACGGAAAAATGAAGGGGGGTGTAGACAGAATGGCTCAGAGTGCATCAGGAGAACGTCTGCACCACCACTATGGCCCAGATCGATAGCCCGGGCGCGACACCAACAACCAAGTATTTGAGGATATCATCCTATTCATGTCAAGGCTAGGAAACCGCTGTGTCTAGATCTGCGCCTCGTTGCCTTTTGCAGGCGATGCAGTCTTCGAGATCACCGTGAAGCGACTTCCCTTTGCTGGCTGGGTTGCCCTCCCTCGTCAAAGCATGCAACTGAAAGCGAGGTCTCGGTACTGAGGGCGGCCTGCTCAACCCCAGCAAGAGACTGAACGACAATCGCACACCACCGGATCCGGATCTCATGCTTGCGCGAAGCGAGGACTCTGTACTCGTCTGCACAACACTCGACGTCGTCCAACAGGCTCCAGACGAAGTGGTCGGGTACGGAGCCCGCAGCAGGCAACCAGACTAGTGTCTACTCTTACCTACATGCGAGTAGTGGTGTTTCTCTCTCCTTTGAAAAGCGTCAAATTTACCTCTGTACATTTGTTTTCTAGCCCGTCATCTGCCGTCAGGATCCAATCTCACCCGCCGGGAAGAATACGAGCCCTAACGATCCATTTTCCCTCATTCAGGAGACCAAGGAATGGCCAAGAAGACGCCTATCCTCTATCTGGAGGTATCGCCGTCAGCTTCCACAGTCTATGGGTCCCGTGGAGTGGCTTTTTCCCCACGTTTCTGAACCTCCGCATCCGCAGCGGGACCAACCCCGACGGATTTGTGGACGGGGCTTGACGTCTATTGAACAAGCAAGGGATCACGCAACCTGGTCATTTGTCTTGATTCTGAACAAGTATCCATAGTCCTGGTTGGGCGAATCCCCCTCCAGGTGCCCCGGTCTGTCCGCAGCCACCGCTAAGGCCGTCGAGGGGATCGTCCTGCGGGACCTCTAGCTTTTTCATGGCAGCGGAAAGCATAGACCTTGGCGAGAAAAGCATCTCGGGGTCTTCTCCCGGAATGCGATCATTTGCTTTCGAAAAGATTGCCTTCTTGGACACCACCCTGCAAGGCGCATCGGATCAAAGTTGCAGACCCAACCCAACCCAACCCTTTACCAGGTCGAGATAGATGCCTCGGCTTCTGTTGAGGCAATGTGTACCAAGCACGCGGTATTCCATTTTTCTTTTTCTCAATGTCGGCGAAATCTAGTTATCCAAGACTTTTGTTTACCGCTGAATAGCCATAGCCATCGCCATCGTCATGGCCAAACCGCGGAATACTATACCATTCGTCGTCGTTCTCCACTCAGGTCTTACCCAAGGGGAAGAGACCAAACCCGGCAGTTACATTGAGGCCAAACCTGGAACTTGAGATCATGGTTGGGAACTTTTGGTCGGTTCATTATTTACTGGGGAAACGGGGGGGTCTGTTTGTACTACTACGGAGTACCTCGTACTCTCGTTGGGAATCCTTCTCCGAATCGTGGCTTGTCCCAGTAAAGAGGCCCTGAGAGGGTTACCGGAGGCAAACATGTACCACTACTGCCCGGACAATTGCCACTGCCAATGCTCGCTTCGCCCCTGCCCAGGACTTATTTGTAGGTAGGTAGGGCCCTACTCGATACAAGTAACCCGCCCTGCCTCAGCTCACCCTGGACAAAAAACCCCCCAGAAGCTGCATGGGCCGGGGGTCTGATCTTCTGGAATCCGAGTCATCTGTCGTGCATGATAAAAATCATGCTCGTTGCCCAGGCGGGTGGATGGTTGGTTAGCCTAGACAACTAGTCCAGGACCTAGACTTTGGACTTCCCGACCGCCCTAGCCCGGCGCAACTACGAGTCCATTGGTGCACTTACCCCCTTTGGTACACAAAGTGTGTCTGCAGGTAGGTAGGTAGGTATGCATGTCTGCGGAAACGAGTTATGCGGGTACTCTTGGATCACGGGTCGATGCCGGTGGAAGGGGTGATTAACTTCGGCCGAGCACCTCACTCAGCCAGCGCCTCCAGAGAAGACGGTGGACGGGTGGTGGCTGAGAAGAGGGCGGTTTGCACGCACCAGCCCTTCCCTGAGTCAGAGATTGCCGACGAGGACCTGGTCATCTGTGCCCTCGCCGAGACGCCAGAACCCAGACGGCTCCTCTCGGAGGTATACCTGTACTTTTGGCAGGGGGTCGGAGCTGGTAGGCTCGTCTCCCTGAGATGCTTCGGAAGAACTTCTCCCAAGATCTTCGCCTGCCCCAGCACTACCCGGAGGCTGATGTTGAGAGAACCTCCTCTACGAGGCCCTGTTGGAAGGTGGTGGCTAAGGTGGTGGTTGTCATATACCACCCTCACAAGCACTCCCAGGAGGCCGGCACCGCACAATCTGCTCCTTGTGGCCCTTGAGAAGGTAGGTTGCTCAGGACCAGGCTGTCATATGTCCTCCTCAGAGTTCGTGTGTCCGCGCTGAGGTACGTTGAATGTGGAGATACTGTCCTTCCCAGGCGCCACGAGATGCGTCTTTGGGGAAGGCTATTGCGCCAGAATTCCAAGGCACCTCCATCTCCACCATCTGCAGATATCAGCTGATGAACTCGGGTATGTCCCCTTCGGCGATACAGAGCGGTCGCGTTGTTGAGAGACAGTGGTCCTCCAGCCTCATATCTGCCCAGCCTGGAGTATCGGCATCACGATCACACTGTCGTCAACGTGGTCTGCCCTTTCTTACGGCCGTACTTGTCCGCGACTGGGGTGATATCGAAGAGAGCTCTCGTGTCCTTGCCTGTCGAGTCTCAGTCAGGAGGCTGCAGAAAACTCCTTCCCAGCTCGAGCTCCCATCGCCTCAATCCAAACCTGACCCTCCCGATCCTGGGCATCTTTTGGAGCGCCGCTGTCTCCATGCGAAGCACAGTCTCTCGCCACAGACACTGATTAGTCCAGTCATACGAGCACATGACCGCGCGCTGCATGCCTCCTTCTGAGCCGCAGAGAAGGGCGACAGTGGGCGGTCGCGCAGCACGAAATGTGGTTACAGTCCTATTATATCCCAGGTCAGAATTGCTCGAGAGAAAAATTCAGCCAGATTACACAAAGACGGCACATACATAGTATTCGTGTCGACCAAAGTGAAGAGTCTCAGCTTCTCTCCCGTTGTCGATACCGTTTGCGCACCACCTCCCTCATTCTCGCCTGCAAGCAGAGGATCTATGCCCTCGCACTCGTCATCCAAGAATTCACTGTTGACCCGGTGATGGGACATGTTGCTGGCATAAGGCGCCCACGAGAGCCGGTCTGAAGGAAACCCAAAGATCTTCGTCTCAATCTTGCGCAGAGACATGTGTCCCTCAAATCCGAACAGCCACGGCTGGGTGTTCCAGACCTTGCCTCCATAGATATGGAGGATCAGCATCGGGGAGAGGAGGATGGTGACCAACGCGACGATCAGGAAGAGCGCCCCTATCGCCTTGCCGGTAGGGTTATTTGTCGAGAGCGCCACGGTGAGGACGCCAGTGAAGAACCACGCCGGCGTGCCGCGCACAAAGTACCGGGCTAGCATGCGCGACCACGTCTCTCGTGTGGTGATGGCGACGCGCTGGAATTTGTCCCAGTGGATTGTAGCACCGTAGGCGCCGTCGAGGATCACAGTGTCGTCCTTGCCGATGCCTGCGACCTGGCAGCTAGGTTCGATGTCCCAGAGTTTGGCGCCCCAGCAGTCGTCGAGGTTTGTCCAGTAATGTCTTTTTCGGCTTTCGTCATCGACGGTTCTCGTTCCGTACTGGCCGTTGTCACTGGTCGCGTGGTTGTAGTGTTGGCCACTGCTTCGGGAATCGTCACTGTCCTCTAGCGGAAGAAGGCATATCATCCTCTCGAGCAGACGGTCACTGTCGTTTGCCAACGAAAGGCGCGCAAAGGCCTGAAAGGCAGAGTCTGTCTGGCTGACCTTTGGCCGTTGTCTCAGCAGGCCCATTAGTGCATAGGACAGGTCTCCTTCGAGGTATTTTGTCGTCCCTCGTTCCACGCGTCGTTTGAGGCATTCCAGTGCCAGGACGACGAGTTCCAGCCGGCTCAAGGCCAGTGAGCCCTCGTAGTTGTCGATCAGCTGTCTCGCCACGTCGCCGTCGTCCCAGACCTGGGCAGGGAACTCCATCTTGGAAATCTCCAGCGGAGCACGCGCGTCTCCCCCTCGCGTGTATACCTGGATCTTCTCCCCTGCAGGGCCCAGCAGAACTTCGGGCCACGTCCACATTCGCGTGCCCCATTCCCTCAGCAGGTCCAGCGTGGTGACCGAGGGCGGGAGACGGTCCTGACCTGTCCGGCCGACGACGATGACGATCTTTGCCGCGCCGCGGACGACATCGCTGATGCGGTAGACATCTTCCTGCAGCTCGACCTTGTCGGTGGACATGCAACATTGGTCGGTCCAGTACGCGGCCACGTTGGCACTCTTGGCGGCCTCACGCGCGATTCTGTGGAGGGCGTCGGCATCAGAGGCCGCGTCCCGGCATTGGAGACAGTTGCAGTACGAAGAGCCAGTGCTCTGGACGTCTTTCCTGGCGTCGGCACATCGCCGCTCAAATTGGTTCTCGGCCGTGTAGGAAATGAAGATGTACGTTGGCTCGACACATCCGCCGTGCTCGTCAATCCAGACCTGCGGGTCGAGACAGCCTCTGGGGTTGCTCTCGGTCACGCGGTCCAGAAAACACAAGAGGCGCGGTCGCAGACACCGCTCAGAGAGTCGGGAGTCGTTTGCCGTCCCAAAGGGTCCGGGGTTGGGCGTCTGGCCCTTGTTCTCGCGAAAGTTGCGCGCGCACAGAGGGTAGGACCAGTATCGGTATGGCACGGGATCGTAATTGCCATTGTTGCGCACTTGGCCCTGCACGTCGGTCGGGAAGATCATCAGCACCAGCAGGCCAATGCAAGTAGGGAGCCAACGCAGGCCGACGTGGAGCCATTGTTCTTGTTCCCACGCGCCAATGCCGGTCGAGGACGATCCGCGAAGGCCGTAAGTGAGATCGGAACTCGAGCTTGGGACAGGCATGTGCGAGTAGGGCCAGTAGGCCAGGCGGATGAGCCAAGGACTGACGTTCTCGATGTACGTCCTCCGCCAGGTCGTCTCGTTGTCCGCGTCGTAGAGCTCGTTCACCGTCTGGACACACAGCTTTTCCACCCTCCCGTCGAGCGGGTTGAGGTACCGATCGTCGTTCAAGCCGGCGTACTTTCGCCGAAAGACGTCTCTGTGCCTGTAGACGTTGAGCCGTCCACCACTCGCAGATCGGTAGTAGTGGCCGGGGAGCTGGTAGGAGTGGGGAGACGTCCAGCTGAACCAGGCGCGCTCGTGGAAGAATTTTGGGTCGAGCCAGGAAAAGACGCGCTTGAGGTGCAGGTTGTTTGAGAGTCGGTTGAGCTTCGAGTCGGCGTCGAACCGGTAGGGGTTGTCGTCTGGCTCTTTGACGCCGTGCACTTCGTAGTCGTCCTCGTTGAACTTTTGCTGCGTGGTGAGAGGAGCCGCAAAGTCGTTGTTGAGGGAGACGCCGTCGTTGATAGACTATTTTGATCTATCAAATCGTGGCCTTGTACTGGACTAGAGGTATTGACAGGATAAACTTACCATATTGTTCGAAGAAGGCATAGCGCTGTCCGACTGATGGTATGCGGGAGGGTTGTAATAGTCGTTCATGTCGTACTAGAGGCATTTAGTCTCAGGAGGCGTCCGACAACAAAACGGACATAAGGGCAATGGATCGTACAACGTGAGACTCTGGCACAGCATCGTTGACAGGAGGGAGAGCGTAGTCCCCAGTCGGTAATGCTTCGTAGGGAGAGCGCGGTTCTCGGCCTGTGGTAGGACGTCTTGATATGCGTATGGGATTATGTCGGGCGGGAGGAGGGCTATGGATCGTGTAGTCATTCCCCCCTTCGGCGGACTGGGCGTAGAAATATGGATTGTATTCTGTCGGTCTGGAGCTTCGCTGTCGTTGTCCGTATGATTGAGGCGCCGATAAAGGATAACTGGCGACAATGAACACTGAGAAACGGCCAAAGGCTGGATCGACACCTTACCTCTCCTCAGATTGTTCTCCGTTCCACCAGCCTTGTGCGTGGGTGCCCTGGTGCTATACTCAGCATCCAGAACCAATTGCGACTGAATAACAATGCACTTACCATTTTCAAAGTAGAATAGCGGCGATCGGTCCTTGAAGCAAGATACCAGGTTCAACAGGCTCGAAACCCGTAAAAGAAGAAAAAAATGTTAGAGAGACCTACGTGGGAGCACGAAATCGAACGATGGCTATCAGGCTGCAGCTGCAAACTCAATTCGCCCTTCTATATGCTGCCAAGTCCTGCCAGCGAGTCGCCTTGTACATCCAAGGCGGACTGCCCTCGTATACAGACGGCAAGCACCAACCGAAAGGCTCTGAGCTCTGGAGAAAGAAAAAAGCGATTGGCTGGGCGCGGGTCAAAGAATTTCTAGTCCCAGCAGGAGGGCGAAGGGAGCACATCTTGAACGGGCGGCTGAAGCCCACGGAAGACATCAGATTGAGTTTTTTGGGCAACTAGAAACTGACCACCTTTTGGTGATGCCGCAGAAGCCGGAAGTAGGACGCTTCTACGACGAGCGCCCTGTCTCTTCTTTGATCTTCATCCAAAGTAGGCGAGGAGCTCAACCAAAGGTCAGCCGACCCAGAGTCCCCAGGTAGATTGGGCCGGTTTGATTGGCTGCCTGCTCGTGAACCGATGGGGCCAGCCTTGGTCTGGGCTCTTGAATACGAGAAAGGCGACGTCTGATTGCACAGAGACAGCGCCGATCCATCGTGGGCAAGAGAGTTCATATTTATGGGAAGTAACAGCAAATAGTCTGATCATAAGAGATCGGAGAGTTCCCTTTCCTGCAACAGGTGGCTGGGGAATATGATGATGATGATAAACTTTACCTTCGTGGCCAAGTTCGCATTTGAAATGACTCCTTGGTTCAAATGACAAGCCTCAATAAGCCCGCCCAGCAACGAATCTCAACCAGCCTGACCACAATATGTGTCCTCATGGAATTCATTTTCCGGCCTCGGTTGCTGGACAATCAAGTTCAGAGGTTGTAGCAAAAGGGCATACGTCACAGTGGTACACAGAATGGAAAGGTTGAGGTGCATAATGGACGGCGAGGCTGAGACCGCATTTGCACTATACCAGATTCGGCGTGTTTGTTGCAAAGCTCCACTTATCACGTGCTTACTGCACTTCAGGGCTCTGTCCGCCGCTGTTTATTTACATCTTGGGCTTGGCAACTGAATAACGGCGACAACGGCTCCTCCTCCATCATCACCACCGCGCGCTTTGAGTCGACTGCGTATCATTCCGGCTGCGCAGCCGAAGCTCGCTTCCTCAGTCGTCGTCCTGAAAGCTGCTTTGACTTTTGTGCAGCGCGCTGTCGTTACAACTCTGTGATACTTGTTAGCAATCGCCTGTTTACGTCTTGCCTAAACACGACTCTCAATCGGCAAACACTAGATGCTGTGGCATCTCCGATCAATGCGACTCGAACCTCCGCGACGTTAACGTTGAGCGCGATACTCGGTCACAATGTCATCTCTACTCCCTGCGAAGTTCCCTTGCTGGTGCCGCGCAGTCTATTCCTGGGGCGGTGAAACGGACCGAGACCTTGGGTTCATCGAAGGCGACTTGATAGAATGCCTCAATGCTGGAGACGGCTCGTGGTGGATGGGAAGACTACTCAGAGACAGAAGAATGATGGGCCTGTTTCCCTCGAACTTCGTGGTTGTGCTCGAGGAAGATTTCGTCCCAACTCGCCGATCGGCCAGTCCCATGCGGGATTTACACAAGAGCAACAGTGGAAGCAAGACGGTGCAAGAGAAGAAGGAGAAAGCAAAGTCGAGGCGTCCGTTTAGCGGTTATAAACATGCGAAATCTCCTTCAGTCAACAGCGCACCTGTACCTCAGCAAGCCGCACCAGTTTCTGCACCGGCGCCGCAAACGTACGACACACGAAACCCTCCATCAACGGTCTTGTGGCAGCAGAGACCACCGTCCAGGGCCCCTTCAAGATCACCATCTCCCCTGCCACATCATGAAATTGGCTCTTCACCCCCGCCGCCTCCACCACCCCACCGGATCATTGGAGGCAGAGCTGCCTCACCTGCACCACAAGCATTCGACATGAATGATCGATACCAGACATTCTGCCGCACTCCTTCCCCAGCACCACCCTCAGTCAACGGACACACTCCCCCAATGATTCGGAGTGCCATAGACGATGTCATGTCCTCTCTCGAGGATATGACATTAGTAAGAAACGATTCTGTCCAGCAGGAGAAGCCATTCAATCCCTGGTCCCCCGAGGCTTTCGACGACTTTCGACGATCTGATGCTCGTCCAGGTCCCCGCCCAGTCACCAGTCTAGGGCTCGGTGCTGGTGGCAGCACTTTCTCCGAAGGACGCATCAACTATAGCAGTCGCCACAACAGCCCAGATCGGTTTCAAGATGGTCCACCTCGATTAGAGAACTACGTCCAGAGAATGGAGAGTCGACTGCGCCGTATGCAACAGGCTCGAGAAGGGCAGGACTCAGATGTACCGGACAGTGACCCTCCGGAACCACCGCCCAAGAATTCGCCGTGGGCAAACTCTGCCAAGGCAGCTCGTCGACTATCTATGCGAAGAAGGAAATCCGCCATAGATGTCGGTGATGGTACTCTCTCAAGAGCCCTTACGCAGAAGACGAACTTGACCAACAACAGCAGCTCCAGTAGCGGAGCACAGAGTTCTGCGAGCACCGGGACCAACTTTTCGCGCCAAACAGCCATGACTTCTCAAAGCATTATGAGCGGATATTCGGCTGGTGCATTCAGTGCTACAAGTGCGGGAAGTCTGGCAAGAAAGAGAATGGGCAGTCTTCGAGACCGTATGGCTAGACCCATGACTAGCACCGGCACCAGGGATGAGCAATGGAACCAAATGGAGACACGACCAAAGACGCCAAACACAGGAACATCTTTTCACGGGAACCATGACACCAGACAAGGGGCCAAGTCAGCGATCGGCTGGGAAGATGCGAGTCGAGGTGCAAATGGTGGGTTGGGGGGATTCACGACTCCCAAAGCCAAAAAGCCAGGGTTCTTTAAGAAGTTAATCGACAGTGCAAAGACCGGTGCTGCGAGCGCTAGAAGCACTATCTCATCCAGTCAAGCAGGAAGCACCTCTGGGTCGCCCACAAAAATGACGGGTATCGCTGGCGGAACCGCATTCAATGCGCCAGTAACCACTACTCAGTCGCACAGTACATTCGGGAGGGATGCTGCCAAAGAGATGGGACTCGTCAGCGGAGCCTCTGGCTCATATATTCTCACTCGCCGCGACGTCAATCGATCAAACACGCCAGGACCATCAGAACGCCAAGAGCGAGCCGATCGATGTCAGATGCTGGATCAGCCTGTTATCTGTCCAGTCGAAGAACTCTACGAGAATCTCCAAGGAGACGAAGACGCCGATGGACAACCTGTGTATTCGCCGTTCCAGCTCAGCAATCCAAGTTTCAGCCAGGTGGACAAGGCTGCTCGGTTCATCACAAGCATTCCTAGCAGCATAACGGCAGGGGGCCTCGCGACGGGTTTCATATGCCGCCCATATCGAAGTGGCGTACAAAGATTACGAGCGATATTTATTTGGTGCGCCGAGAGAATTAGCTGGGAAGAAGATCATTTTGACAGCTACTCTTTCAACAAGGCAGCCGATACTAGAAGAGTCATTCAAAGCAAACGGGGAAGCAGCAAAGAAGTCGCAGAGGTTGTGCTTGAGATGTGCACTGCCATCGGCATTCACGCCGAAGTCGTGCACGGTTATCTGAAATCCCCTGGCGAAGAACTGGACTTGGATGCGATTGCTCGACCAAACCACTTCTGGAACGCTGTGCTCGTCGATGGAGAATGGAGAATGATAGACGCCAGTCTGGCTAGCCCGACGAACCCGAAAAGAGCATTATATTCCAGCATCAGCACCAGTATCGCCGAAGCATGGTATTTCTTGACACGACCGAGCGAGTTATGCTGGACGCATGTTCCCGTTGATGAACTCCAGCAACACATGATTCCCAGCATCAGTCCTGACGTGCTTCTAGCCCTACCTGGAACAGGCCCACCATTCTTTCGGCAGGGCTTGTCGATGCACGCTTATGACACCAGTATTATCAGACTGGACGGCCTAGAAATGTGCACATTCAGCATCAATGTCCCTCCCGATGTTGAAATTGTGGCAGAAGTGGAAGCCAGGAGATACCTCTGCGACCAAGACGGCGACGTCTATGAAGACGCCGACCACCTAACTAAGAAACGTGCTCTTGCACAACCAAGCTGGTACCGCACAGTGCCTAACACGGACATGGCGCAGAAGCGATATGTGATCAAGGCCATCTTGCCAGGGGACGAAGGGTTCGCCTACGTCAAGGTCTACGCTGGGAAGAAAGGTCTGATGCTTTCTTCGAGGGATATCGTGCATCCCCTGGCTCTTGCAGTACCTCTGTACCACTCGGGCGAGAACCCAAGCTATGAGTTTGTCATGAGGCATCCCACACCGCATGCCACACGACAAGATCTCTATGTCGTGCAACCGCAATGCTATCGCCTTGGGGCGGGAGAGACATATGTCTTTTGCGTGCGGCAACACCCCTCGTCGATCGCATCTACGCCAGCGAACGAACAGAACGGCTTTGAGGTCCGCCCTGTCAGTCCCAACCCACTCGGACGCCCAGCGAGCGCAATGAGCATGACTAGCAGTACGACCGGTTCCAACCCCAGTGACTATACCTACGGCAACAACGCAAACAACGCGGCTAGCGTCAAAGTCAAGGACAAGCCGGCCAAACTGGCGATCCAGTCTCCCGGCGGCAAAATCATCAGGTTGAACCGTAAGCACGAGGGGATACCGCAGCCTGCCAGCCTGAAGGAAGTGGATGGTGAAGTTCTGGGAAGCTTTTGGGAGACCGCCGTCAAAGTCCAAGAAAGGGGCATCTGGAGAGGCCTGGTCCTTGCGGATCGGAGTGCCCGGTGGTGTGTTTGGGGAGAGTGGGAGTGCGTTTGATGATGGTGAATGCTGCGGGATCTAATGCCCTCTGAAACTGGGTAACATCGGTACACAAGAGGGAATCAATTTAGCAAAGGTCGCTGGGGAATGAACTTGGGATTTGGAGCATTGAGGATACTTGCTTTGGGAGATTAAAAGTTCCGGACTATTTATGAGGAGGACAGCCGGCTGGGACACGGAGGGTTTGAGCGCGAGTCGTTGAACATGCCAGTTTTCTATGGATGAAGATTGCCCTGCGCGCTTATGACTTTGCTTCTTGCCTTGATGGTGTGACGACACGTTACGATGTTGGTCATACTCGTACATGTATGTCTTGTACAATTACAGAATTTCAGGGATTTTTGTTGTTTTTTTGGCCGTGAGATCAGAGGACTGATGATGGCCTTTGATTGAGTGGTTGGTTAATGCGGTTCTCTGTTAGATGGAGCAAAGCGTTCCTATGTCTCTCACAGCTCGACACGTCTGAATTCGAAGTGTTACATGTCTGAGGTTGTTGGTGCTCTCTGATCATGATGCTTCGCGGCCTTTGTCCGCTTTGATATAAAATACAGGGGCAGCTCAAAGCTTGAAGTGGGGTAAGATTCTATGTTGAACAACCGATGCCGGAGCTATTGCAAACCACCTTTAACACTTATACCAACATCTACCCGCAGATAGACAACAGGCTTGTTCCCTCTGACAGTTCGCATACTAGAGTCTGGACGCAAACCACCACAAACTATCATGGACCAGAAGCCCAATCCCAGCGACTTTAACCCTTCGGGCCACTTCGATCAGCTCTCGTCCAAATATGACAATCTAATCGGCCTCATGACGGGCGACATCGCACGCTACACCTTACAAGAACTGATTGAGCCGCCCAGTGCGGACATGGTGATCCACGACAACGCCTGTGGCACAGGTCTCGTCACCGAATACCTGCAGCAGGTTTCTTCCCAGCGGGGAATCTACCCGAGGAAGATCCACGCCACAGACTTTGTGCCGTCCGTCACCCAAGTGATGCAGAACAAAGCGACGCAACAGCAGTGGAAGAACGTGGACATCTCGGTCATGGACAGCCAGGACCTCACGTTTGCCGACGGCACGTTCGACCTGAGCATCACCAACTTTGGCATCTTTTTCCTGCCCGACCCGCAAAAGGGGGCGGACCACATCCACCGCACATTGAAGCCCGGCGGTGTCGCGGTCGTCACGGCGTGGAAAGAGCGGCGGATCATGGACACGATCGCCGCGGCGCAGGAGTCGATCCGGCCGGATCTGAAGACCTTGTCGAGCCCGTGGGCGGAGCGCTGGTCGCGTCAGGAAACACTGCGAGACGTCCTCCTCGCCGCGGGCTTCAAGGCCGAGAACGTGCGCATCGTGGAGAAACGGACGGACGCGGTGGTAGAGCCGTTCCTGCGCGACCCCGACATGGTCGCCAGGTCGTACCCTGCGGCTGTGGAGGGGTGGAGCGACGAGGAAAAGGCGAGACTGGGAGGCGAGATGTTGAGGATCGCGCGCGAGAGGGATCCCGAGGGTGGGGGGGTCGGCGGTCTCTACTTTGTAGCGTATGTCGCGATAGCGAAAAAGTGAAATGATAACTAAAATGACTGGTGGTGATTGAGCCTTTGTTTGTCTCATCTAGTCTACAGTGCGAATACGGGCATTTCCCTTCCCCTGTGGGTGTCTGCCCCAGACAAGCATCACGACGCACGACGCATGAGCTGAATTCGCTGCTCCTCTACTCAAAACATCTCTGCCTCTGGCCCTTGAAACGCGTAGATAAAATTACAATTATATCACTCTTGATCCAAGCCAAGTCCATCTTGAGTCTCTCTTTCCCCTTCTGGGCGTTTGCTGAAGTGCGGGGTGCGCTTATCCCAGCCATATCAAGGGGTACGGGCCGAGAGAGGTCTAGATGTCAGCTAGGTTTCATATCAATGTTCCCCTCGTGCGACTAATGACTTGATACAAATTACTTGTCTCACCTATTCCATCTGCAACTCAGCCTCTCTTCATTTCGCACGCAGCTTTCTGTGATAGCAGCCACAGAAATGTCATCCAAGCCCGTCATCGTGTTCGTGCCTGGCGCGTGGCATGTCCCTGAGACATTCCATCTCGTGGTTGGCGAGCTCGAGGCCGCCGGCTACGAGACCAGGGGAGTCAAACTCGCCTCCGTCGGCTCGCCCGAGCCGCTCAAAGACTTTCAGCCTGACGTGGAGGCCATCCAACAAGTGTTGAGGTCGGTCATCGAGGACGAGGGGAAAGAAGTCTTGCTCGTCGTCCACTCCTACGGGGGTGTCGTGGGAAACGAAGCTGTGAAAGGCCTGGACAAAGCCTCGCGCGAAAAGGAGGGCAAGAAGGGAGGCGTGTCGCACATCTACTTTTGCTGCGCCTTCGCTCTCCCTGAAGGGGTGTCCCTGATGGACGCGCTCAACCAGACCCCCCTGCCGTGGTTCCGGATCAATGACTCTGAAGACATTGTCAACCCCGCCACGCCGATCGACACATTCTACAACGACGTTGACGACCCGGAGAAATACGTGGCAATGCTGAAGCCGCACAGCTACCGCACCTTTTTTTCAAAGGTGACCCAGCCGGGCTGGAAGTTTGTGCCGAGCACATATCTGCTGTGTGAAAGGGACGAGGCCATCCCGATTCATGCTCAGAAGGGGATGGTAGAGGGGGCTCAACAGGCTGGGGCGCAGATGAGGGTCGAAACCGTCGACGCCAGTCATTCGCCGTTCTTGAGCATGCCGCAGGAGATGGCGAGGTCAATTAGGCGTGCGGCGGGTGAGGCAGTGTAAAGGGGGAACGGAGAAGGGTGAGATACAGCCGAAAATATTTTGAGATGTGAGTAGGTACATATGTATGAGATGTGTATATTACACCTGGTGTGTGCCTGATGCCCAGCGAGCCTCTGGAAGAAGGAAATGACACAGTCTGACAGAAAGAAGATGCGCTCCCAGAACTCAGATGCTCCGTCGTAATACTACCCCGGATCTTGTTCAGCCACGCCAGCCACACCTCCTGCTTCCGATTGGCTGTCGATGACTGCAAGGGCGCAGGCGCAGGCCCAGACGAAAAAAGGATTCCGATTTCGTCCCCGAGATTTTCTTCATGGCCAAACCAGATTCTGTGACCATCGCGAGGGCCTGACAGCACAACAACCAACCCAGCACGGTAATACCTTTTGCCTGCCACCCTTCTTGACATATCTCTTGGAGCTAGAATACCGCCCGGGGTTCTTTTATTTCGTGAAAAGAAAAACATGCCTCTCCCATAAACTGTCGCGTTCTTCCCGCCTCTCGCTGCCCCGCCATGAGTCAAAATAATCCTCCCCCAAAACTCCCCTCTCTAGACCACAGCACCAGTATCCCTCCTCCCGCAACCTTACACCCAAAGCCTCGCTCTGCCGTACCCTCATACCTGCTGAACGGTTCCTCTCCCCTACACCGTTCGCAGACGACGACTCGAGCGCAGGAACGAGAGAACCTGGCATCTTCTATCCAAGCTACGTACGGCCGGCGGAAAACCATAGATCTCACCGCCGAAGGCCAAACAACCTCACAAGCCACCATGCCGAGCGGGACGTCATGGCTGGGCTTGGAGAACACGCAAAAAGACACCGAGTCCAAACGTCCTCCAACACTGCATACCCCCGCTCGAGACGAGCGAGACGAAGCACCACCCACCCCTCCTGCCTCCACGGTGTCGCGCCCTGCAAGTCCCTATACATTGAATCCGCCCATCGACTTTGACGGTCTTTCCTGGCCATGTATCGGCACTCGCGAACGCCTCGATCAGACTCCTGAACAGGCACAGGTTCGCCTCGATAAACTCGCGGGGGCGGTCCGGACGATATTTGAGTGTATAGGTGAAGACCCCGACCGCGAGGGACTGCGAGACACCCCGGAGAGATATGCCAAGGCGCTGATGTATTTCACCAAGGGCTACGAGGAGAACGTGCGGGACTTGGTCAACGGGGCAGTCTTTCATGAAGACCACGACGAGTTGGTCATCGTCAAGGACATTGAAGTGTTCAGCTTGTGTGAACATCATATGGTGCCATTTATTGGGAAGATGCATATTGGATACATTCCCAACCGACGCGTGCTTGGGTTGTCGAAATTGGCTAGGCTCGCAGAGATGTTCTCGCGCAGACTGCAAGTTCAAGAGCGGTTAACGAAGCAAGTTGCCCTGGCGATCGCCGAAGTCCTGAAACCACAGGGTGTCGGGGTCGTGATGGAGAGCAGTCATCTTTGCATGGTAATGAGAGGCGTGCAGAAGACCAGCAGCTCCACGACGACGAGTTGCATGCTAGGCGCCATGAGGAGCAGTGCCAAAACGAGAGAGGAGTTCTTGAGCCTGTTGAACCGGAAGTGATGGTCCGTGCAGCCTTGTACGACGAATGAATGGATGGACGGAGGGCTTCTGCTGTCTCTCGGGACTGCGTTTATGATCAGAGACATGTCTAGGCAAATGTGTGGCGCTTTGGCGAAATTTCAACAAAAATATGGGAATTGGCGTAACCTCAACTCAACGGTGGTTAAAGTCGCTATCGATACCCAAGGTGAACAGTACTTTGTACTGGATGGATATATATCTGGGAACAGCTCGACTCCCTAGTAAATATGGATATGTATGATGCTTGGTTTGGCTGTTTTGCTATTTGCCTTCACGTTCCCACGTAGCTCTGAGGTGAAGTCGGATGACTAGGAGATTGTTCTCTACTCGCTGCCTAGGCATCTTGTCAGCAGAGATTCGCATATCCCTACCGTAGGTGTATCAATATGACTGACCGCTTGGGTACCTCGTCAAGAGATGTGATATGTGGTTGCTGCACGTGACGTGTCTTGGCACAATTTGCTCATGGTTCGTGACTTGTGACTGGGATATCGTCTCTCTCCTCAGGCCCTCGTCTGCTATACTTCTTCGTGTCTACGGACTGGGATAGTCTGTCGACGTACTCTCAGTCTAGTGAATCTTATTGCACCTGCCTCAGAACTCGATAGACGCTCGCCCGCGCCAGGCTGAGCCACGCACACTCCGCCTGGCGAGTCTATCAATCCAGACAAGGCGGAAACCGTTCCGGACTTACTGATAGCTAGCTAACTTTTTTGCTCCCTTTGCAAACGACACAGTCTTGCAGCCATTGGCCCTCGGACTCAGCCTTGCCGCACGTATCTCTGTTGCATTAAGATTAGCGATAGAGCTCAGCCGGTACCCTGTATCGTGATCAACGATGGGCAAGCTTGTGACAGTAGCGACGTGCTCCCTCAACCAGTGAGTTCACACCCTAAGAATCCACCGGATGAAATCTGACATTTCGCAGGTGGGCCCTTGATTTTGACGGCAATGCGGAGCGCATAATCACAAGTATCAAGCAAGCCAAGGCAGCGGGAGCTCGGCTGAGAGTCGGTCCTGAGCTGGAGGTTTGCGGATATGGAGTACGTGGTCCTGGCATTCTGCTCCAGTCCTCTTTGAGCGTGTATATGATTATGGCTGCCCAATCTGCTACGGCTTGTCGTGTGGCTAACTGTCTATCAGTGTGCAGATCACTAGTGAGCTCTTTCGACCAAGGTCTACTCAGCCAATCACTAACCATGCCAGCTTGGAGGGTGACCTCTTTCTTCACTGCTGGGAATCTCTGGCAACCATCATCACCCACCCAGATGTTAGCGACTGTATCCTCGACATCGGCATGCCTGTGCGCCACAATTCAGTCCGCTACAACTGTCGCGTTATTGTGTTGAACAAGAAGATCCTCCTCATCCGTCCCAAAATGGCCATGTGCGAGGAAGGCAACTACTTTGAGTCTCGGTGGTTCACTCCGTGGACACGGAAACGAGAAGTCGAAGACTACCCGCTCGAAGATGCAATTAGCAGCGTCACAGGCCAGCGAACTGTATGTCAAAGCCTGTGTTTCTCGTTCGCGATGTACAGCTCTGTTCAGGCTAACCAGAGTAGGCACCGTTTGGAGACGGCGTCCTCCAGACCATTGACACGCTGGTCGGCGCAGAAACGTGTGAAGAGCTGTTCACTCCAAATGCTCCTCATATCCATATGGGATTGAATGGCGGTATGTTAAAGAGCTATCCCGTTTATACAAGGTTTTGTACTCTGCTTTCCCGTAGCTCTTGTTGCTTACAAGCCATTCAGTCGAGATCTTTGTGAACTCCAGTGGCTCGCACTACGAATTGAGAAAGCTGCAAACCCGTGTCTCTCTGTAAGTTCTCGGTATCGTCTAAGTTTGTATCGGACCAAGGACGCTTTTGTGTCGAGATGCTGGGCTGCCCAAGCTGGTACTGACTCTGCGACTACCAGCATTCGGGAGGCCACGAGACAGAATGGTGGTATCTACGTGGTATGTATTCCTGGGGGCATGATACTACTTTCCTCTTATGCTGACGGTCAGTAGTATTCCAATCAACGAGGCTGCTCGGGAGACAGATTGTACTAGTAAGTGCTGCGTCAAAGCGGCTCCTATCTTTACCGATCACCTGACCCGGCACAAGTCTTCTGTGCTAACCCATGATAAGTGATGGCTGTGCCATGATCTTCGTGAACGGCAGACTGTTGGCTCAAGGGAGCCAGTTCAGCTTGAACGACGTTGAGACTATCACCGCAAATGTCGATCTCGAAGATGGTAGGTGATCCTGCAAGGACCCCACGTCCATTAATAGGCGTTGTTTCGGCGTTGTTTTCTTCCTGGCTGTCCTTGTAACAATGGTCGAATCTAATGAATTGCCAGTGCGGTCATTCCGTGTCTCTCACTCGCGAGGTCTCCAGGGCGCCGAGGCCCTCCCATATCCTCGTATACCAGTCGATCTCCGCTTGACGCACCCAGGCCTCGAACAGACCGGCAAATTCCTCGCCCCCTCTCCGGATATCCCAATTCGCTATCATTCTGCCGCTGAGGAAATTGAATTGTAAGTGGTCCTCGGTCTCTCCTGAATCATATATCTGCACATTTTGAGGGAGAAGCAAGAGTACCAGCATTTCTTTGGCGTGTTCCTTATCCTCGGAGTCCTGGCAATGTCCAACTCTTGGTATCTTCTGGCTCACCAAACTTCTCTTTCTTTCTGTCTATGAAACTGGAATATTGCTGACGTGACGTTTCACCTGTTGCAGCGCCCCAGCTCTTTGGCTTTGGGACTACTTGAGGCGTTCTAGAACGGCGGGTTTCTTCCTGCCTTTGTCTGGTGGGATCGACTCTGCATCTACGGCTGTCCTTGTATTTTCAATGTGTCGGCTGCTGTATGACGCTATCACATCCGAAAAAACCCTACCTCACACAAAGGAGCTCGTTTTGGATGACCTCCGACGAGTCTGCGCACAAGCCGACGACTGGACCCCATCGAGTCCACAGGAAATCTGCAGTCACATTTTTCACTCTACCTACATGGGATCGAAGTACGTGAGCACTGTTTACCGACGCGCATATCTTGGTTCTGAGACTTTCTCAGACTCAACTCAATTTTCAGTGCTGACACACTAGCAGGAACAGTAGCAAGGAGACCCGGTCTCGAGCAGCGGCGCTTGCGAAAGCCATTGGATCCTATCACATTGACCTCAACATTGATGGTGTTGTGTCTGCTCTTACCACATTATTCACTACTGTCACCGGATTTACCCCGAGCTTTACTTCCAGTAATCCGTCCGAAGGGCTTGCTCTACAGTATGTGAATCAAACCTGCGGCTCATGCCTTCTTTCCTCCTTTCAGTCTTCATTCAAAAGCTAACGAGGCCTAGAAACATTCAAGCGCGTATACGGGTAAGTTCATTCGGTCCTATGCACTCAAAATATCGAAATATCATACCGAGCATTCTTCAATGATTGATGTGCTGACCTTTTGACAACTTGCAGATGGTGATTGCATATTTTTTGTACGTGTTTGGACAGCTGCCCTATAAGACAGAGAGATTGTCCCCTTGACGACAATCTGGATATTCATTGACGAATCATTAGTGCCCAACTCTTACCGAGTGTCCGAAAGCGCAAAGGAGGCGGTGGTCTTCTAGTTCTCGGCTCCGCCAATGTTGACGGTACTTATCTTCCTCTGAATCCACCAAGTTACTGTGCTGATTAGATCAGAGCAGCTCCGTGGGTACTTGACCAAGTACGATGCGAGTAGCGCGGATATAAACCCAATCGGCGGCATATCTAAGGTCGATCTTCGAATGTTCCTCGCTCATGCCCGGGACAATCTCGACCTCCCTCTTTTACAAGGCTTCCTCGACGCCACCCCAACCGCCGAGCTGATCCCGACGACCAATGCCGATGCCCACACCCAATCCGACGAGGAGGAAATGGGCATGACATACGCCGAGCTCAGTGTGCTCGGCCGTCTGCGCAAAGTTGGACGTCTCGGCCCATGGGGCGTCTTTGAAAAGGTAATTGTTCTGGCTTCATTGTTGTTCACCACACTAATGTTCCATGCCCAGCTCCTCCCTATATGGACATCTCCCCCACCAGACTCAGAGGCGATCGCCACAGAAGCTCGTGGCGCACATACAGATCCCCAGTATGTACACAGTGTGGCGCATGGTGAGAGCATGACGCCGCGTGCCGTGTATGAGAAAGTGCGGAAATTCTTTTGTGAGTATAACTTGTGCCGGGATATTCGCTCGTCTCACGTGGAACAGATTACTATGCAATCAACAGACATAAGCAGACTACCCTCACTCCGGGATTGCACATGGAACAGTAAGTACCAAAGAGAATATTCGATGAAGCCACCATTTTGGCCGCTTACCTTGTGTCTTTGAAACTTCTCATACTCACCTTTGGTTAGATATTCGCCGGATGATCATCGATATGACATGAGACCCTTCTTATACCCCAGCTTCACAGCGCAGTACCGCAAGATGGAGCACGCAGTCAAGGTACTTGAAGACAGTGCGAGAAATGGTGCTTGAGGCAGAATGTCACGTCTCCGTGGTGTTGTTTTACGTCGGAGTATGTAAGAAGCTTGCAATCATAGACATCCACTCTTCGACGAGCATAAGAAACAGCGAATAACTACAACTTGTTGATAGTCTTCTGCGCCAATGTTCTTCTGTGCGAATGCACGACCTCTCGCAGATCAAGTCTATACAGGCAATAGAGTACGGCCGGCTCTCGCCTCTCTGGTATGACAAATTGATGCTAGGAGAAGGTAATCCGGAACTAAGCTCAGTCAGCTCTAGGACGAGAGGAGATGCCGTTCGATCCTATGCCCCCATCCACGCAAGCAAGCACCGAGCAATACTGACCCGTCTCTTAGCAACGGAGGTAAGGATCAAGCAGGCCAACCTTTTTCCACCCAATCTAGACAGCGGGTATGATTTCCCGGGGGTTTGTTTTCTTATATCGCATCCTACAATCATGTGACGGACCACCCGTCTTACGACTCGTACGGTGTTGATTATCCGTCTCGATGTGTTGCCCGGTCTTTAAAACAGGGTATTGCTGTTTAAGTCCACAGGGGTGAACTAGGGAGCGAATATACGAGGTCCCTAGATCCATGGTTCCTTAGGGCCTGTCGAGAAAGCCACCCCTGGAAACTCGCCCAAAGTTCGATTTCGACAAAGTCAACATCGAAATCCTTGTGACCTTGTTTCCAGAAACTGGCCTTCAACTACAAAGAGAACTTGCAGTGATGGGGTCCATCAGCGAAGATGTCCACGCGAATGGCACCGCCACGCCTTCGCCCTTTATCAACAACCTCGACATTGACGTCGTGGTCGTCGGAGGCGGATTCGGGGGCATGTACGCCGTCTACAAGCTCCGCCAGCTCGGGTTGAGCGTGAAGCTGTTCGAAGCGGGATCTGACTTTGGCGGAACCTGGTTCTGGAACCGGTACCCTGGCGCTCGCGTCGACTCCGAGTCGCCGTACTATGGCCTGTCGATCCCCGAGCTCTGGCGGACGTGGGACTGGAGCGAGCGGTTCCCCGACCACAACGAGATCCGCCGGTACTTTGCACACGTCGACAAGGTCCTGGACCTGAGCAAGGACGCCTTCTTCAACACCATCATCACCGAGGCGACCTGGGACGGGGGCCGCTGGACGACCAAGACCCAGGACGGTGCGGTCATCACGTCAAAGTATTTCGTCGCCGCGACGGGGTCCACGTACAAGCAGTACTACCCCGATTTCAAGAACCTGCGAGACTACAAGGGCATCCTGATCCACTCTGGGTCCTTTCCGAGCCATCGAGTCGACTACTCGGGCAAGAAAGTGGCCGTGATCGGCAACGGGGCCACGGGGGTACAAATCGTCCAGGAAACGGCCAAGGAAGACTGCCAGCTCACCGTCTTCATCCGGACGCCCAACATCGCCTTCCCGATGCGCCAGCGCAAGTTGCCCGTGGAGGAGCAGGAGAGCGCAAAGGTCTTTTACGCCGCGTACTACCAGGCCGCGAAGCTGTCGAGGGGCGGCATCCCCTACAACCCGGCGACCACGTCCATCTGGGCCGTGTCCCCCGAAGAGCGCGAGGCCTACTTCGAGGAACTGTGGCGGCGGGGCGGTTTCTCCTTCTCGTCGTCCAACTACCGCGACCTGATCACCGACAAGCGCGCCAACGCGCTCGTCTACGAGTTCTGGCTGAAAAAGGTGCGCGAGCGCGTCACGGACCCGCACAAGGCCGCCGTCGTCGCGCCCCTCACACAGCCGCATTTCTTCGGCACGAAGAGACCCAGCCTCGAGCAGGACTACTACGAGATGATTGACCGGCCGAACGTCACGGTCGTCGACCTGAAGACGCACCCGATCGTCGAGTTTCGGGAGACGGGGATCCTGACGACGGAGAAACTGCACGAGTCCGACATCATCATCCTCGCGACGGGCTTCGACTCGGTCACGGGCAGTCTCACGACCATGGGCCTGACGGACAAGGCGGGCGTGCCGCTCTCGACGAAGTGGAAGGACGGCGTGTACACGCACCTGGGCCTCACGATCTGCGGGATGCCGAACCTGTTCATGGTGTACAGCCCGCAGGCGCCGACGTCGCTGTCGAACGGGCCCCCGATCATCGAGATCCAAGTCGACTGGATCGCCGACGCCGTGGCCAAGATGCGCGCCGAGAACGTCGTCTCGATCGAAGCCCGGCCCGCCGCGGCGCAGAGGTGGCACGACGACATCCAGCGCGCCAACAGCCGCACCCTCTTCCCCTACACCGACAGCTGGTACATGGGCGCCAACATCCCCGGGAAGCCGCGCGAGCAGCTCCTCTACCTCGACGGCGTCGCCCGGTACGCCGAGGTGTGCAAGGCCGCGCTGGAGACGTGGGACGGATTCGACGTGGTTGTTGGAACTTCTGAAAAGATTGACGGAAGTGGTGGTGCCGAGCAGGTCCCGCCTCGTCTGTAGTCTACGTAGCAGTCCATCAGAAAGTTCTGTAGGAGCAAGCGTCTTTTTACCCCCGTCAAATAGGTATGTAAGGACGTATAGAGTGGGTGGAATAGATGATTAAGAGTTATTTGATATTATTCCTCGCTTTTGCCCAGATCCTGCTTGACTGTGCTTTGAAAGTATCGTTCCCCGGGGTCAAATGTCAGGATCGAAAGTGTCAGAAAGGACACAGTCTTCGCCAGAATTTAGTATGTGTCCACCACACTATTGATCTGGAGTTGATGTTCCATACACAGCTTTGGGCTCTTACTTCACGCATCATCACTACTGATCTAGTTTCCTTCACCCTGCACGAACCTGTGGACAAGACACAAGTTAGATAAAGGCAAAGATACGATAAAGAGTGTGTCATGTTTGATTTGATATGGACATGATAAGACTCTCCCGTCGCGACCCCTACCCACACCAAGAAGGGTTCATGTACCGAGCTGGACCCCTACAACTTGAGCCCTTTGAACGTCGTCGACGGCCCGTACGCACGCGTCAGCTTCCACGTATACCCCTCCATGGACTGCACCGAGCCCAAAACCCGCTTGGCCCATTCGGTCGTGGTGGACCGACGGATCTGCTCGCCGGGGATGTCGGTGCTGTCGAACTCGTGGATGGTCAGATAGCGCGGCTTGTTGGCAGGGTCGATCTGCTCGTAGCGCGTGGCGGCCCGGTACGGGATGATCATGGACAGCATGTCCAGGTGTTGTTGGCGGTACCAGGTATCGAAGTCGTCCTCGCCGCCAGCTTTGGGCTGGACGGCGGCCGTGGCGATGACGGGGGCGCCTTCTGTTTTTTTTTAAAACATTATTTTTTAGCAGAAAAAAAATGTTGTTTACGCGCGCTTGGGGACAGGAGCTGTCATTCATTGATCATTGCTAGGAAGCACAGGGGGAGGGATGAACGTGGAAATGAACAGGATGGGGGTCAAAACGCACCAAAGACGCGAATATCCCGCGGCTCGTAAACTTGGGTCAGCCGATACTGCCTCACTTGAAACTCAATGTGATCAGTGATGGGACCGGGAAAGACGTGCTTGCCGAGCGGAGGGATCGAGTTGAACTCCTGCGTCGAGAAGAAGTCGATGTCGGCGACGGGATACAGGGCCAGAAGTGGCCACTCGGAACTGGGGTCGACGTTCTCATAGCGATATGCGTCGTTGATGCCGCTCGTCGCGAGGATGTCCGGGATGTGGACCTCCTCGTACCATTGGTGCAGCTTGCTGAGAGGATGGTCTGTCCCCTTTTTTGGACGTGCGAACGCAACGGCTAGCCCCGGCTGTGGCATATTTGGTGGTGGCGGTGAAGGCGGAAAGTGGTGATGACGGTTGAAAGCGACTCTGGCAAAAACGGATGACTGACTATCAAAAAATTCACTTAACTGGTATACAAATAGAGCTTTTCTTTCTTTCGGCAAACGAGCGAGATCGGCCAATCACTGCCTCGGTCCCCATGATTTTACGTCCAAGTTGGTCTCAACAGATACCACGGCTACCTCGGGGATAAGCCGAGGCAAGCCCGGACTTTTGGGCTTGACTCCCTTCCAAAGCCAGCAGGATCCCTTGATTTTTGGTATAGGAGTGTGACCGGCGGCGAACATATCCCGGGCGAATACGAGGATAAAAGGTTCGGTGTAGGTCTCAAACAAGGTCGATCCCATCCCAGTCCGTCATCAGCTATTACCCGGGTGGTGTGGCCACAAGGGGGATATATTCAGGGTAGCTGCGACATCTTTGACCGAGTTTCGGCATCTGTTGAGTTGTCAGGAAGAATAATTTGACGAGAGAAAAGGGTTCGTCCAACATATACATAGCGAGAGCGTCCATTCCATTTCTCAGTCCCTGTGAGGCATGTGTCCTACACAGAAAAGGAAAGTCAAAATAGGGGCAAACTAGGGCAAGCTCTGTCACGGATCCAATTATCGCTTAGTTAAGCATGTATATTAACGAAGGTGCCTTCCTAGATAGGAACTAAAGTGGGGCGGCGGAAGGGTCCGCCGGTCGAGACACGGAAGTGGTTGACGACCAGGACAGAAACGAGTGTCTGTGAATGCTTCGCGAGTTTGGTCTCCTCTTAATCGTCGCTGTCCGGCGACTCTCCGGTCTTGTTTTCTTCTGCTCATTGCTTAAGTCGAGGATCGGGAGGGCCCTCTGAACACGGGGGCCGATCAATCTATTCCCCGGCTCATCCGTGCCCACGCCGGTTGCATGGCAGTAGCTTGAGTTGCTTGAGCTAACCTTCCAATTGACAGGTGCGACTTGCGGCGCCACGTATCAGAGGTCCCAATATCAGACACTATGACTGTGGACTCCCCTCGGCGCCGAATCATCAGGTCGTAGGCCCGAAACGTGGCTTCAGGGATTCGCGCGACCGGGTATCAGGCATGTTCAACCTGGGTGGAAGGGCTCGCGAATCAGGTCCAGACATACGAATCACCCCCCAGGCCAGCTCACTGTCACCGGCGGCCATCATTGTCCGTTGATGAATCTCCCATGACCACCTCCGCCCCCTGGATGCGACAAACGCGGGTTCCCCAGACTCTCAAACATCTGGGGAAGTCGATTGATGCGGCCCAACATCTCCGGAATAATCACTCCTCCGTCTCTTGAGCTCGACGTTAAGAAGTCTGGACCATGTTTTTTTGAGACTTCAGTCCATCCACATGCATTCGTCTTCGTCGTTGTGAAACCAGCAGCAACGTTTGTATTTTGAAACCATGGACGTCGCAGCACACACCAAGAAACAGAAGATCAATGGGGCAACCATCCGAATCCTGGCCTTTGTCGGCTTCGGCACCCTGTCGTCAGGCTACTCGGCGGCCATCATTGGGACAACGCTCGGTATGTATTCAGATCTAATGGGAAACCTCGCTAGGTCATGTACTGTGACTGACGATTGCGACAACAGGCCAACCCTCCTTCAGCGAATACTTTGAGCTCGACAAGAGGTCCGACGCGACTGCTTTGATCTCAGCCATGAACGGTCTCTTCTTTGCTGGCAGTACAATCGGAGTGTTGATTGTTCCATATATCAGTGACAGATGGGGTCGTAAATGGGCAATTACAGTGGTACCTTGAGCTTCTCTCCCTTTTCTTGCTGGTGGCGACTACTCACCATCACTACAGGCGGCGATTGTCAATCTGATATCTGGTGCCTTGCTGGCGGGAAGTGTCCACGTCGGCATGTTCCTCACCTTCCGTTTCTTCGCAGGCGCCTCGTCGTACATGCTTCTCAGTTCTATTCCAGTACGCATATAAACACCCTGAGCACGATGCAACTACTGACACAACAACAGCTTTGGATCTCGGAGGTGGTCCCCCCTCGCTTCCGCGCGGCGCTGGTTGACTTTGGCGCCGTCTTTGGAATCATTGGGTACTTCATCCAAGGATGGATCGGCTACGGGTTCTTCTTCTGGAAATCCGGGGGCCTGCACGCGTGGCGGATCCCTCTCGCTCTGGCCTGCCCCTGGCCGATCTTCCTTCTTTCGGGTATATATTGGCTCCCGGAAAGTCCTCGATGGCTGGTCATGCAAGACCGTGCCGCCGAAGCCAAGGAGATCATCTACCGCCTGCACGCGGACCCCAAGAATCCCAACAATGACTACGCCGCTGCCGAGTTTTACCAGATCAACAAGCAACTGGCCATTGACCGAACGCTGGGAAACTCGTGGATGGACATGATCAGGAAACCGTCATACCGCAAACGCTGCTACCTTTGCATCGCCACCGCGGCGCTCATCCAATGTTCAGGACCGCTGGTTATCAATAGTACGGGTGTCTCCACGCAACATCTCTTCCTGACTGCGGAAAGCTAATCGAATATATATAGACTACGGGCCGTCTATCTATAAAAACCTGGGGTTCGATGCCGAAAAGCAGCTGCTCTACCCAGCTGCATGTCTAACTCTAGCCCTCGGCGCCAATATAATCGGCATGTTTACTGTCGACTTGTTCTCCCGCCCCTGGTTCATCGGCACCGGCCTCATCGGTTGTGAGCTCTGTCTGATCGTCGAAGCCGCACTGGTGTCGAACTTTGTCAACACCGACAACAAGTCCGCGCTCTTGGCCGCAGTGGCAATGTTTTTCATCTTCCAGCTCCCCTACGGAATTCAACTTGATGGTAAATGCTTTTCTAGCCCGAATACCTCGGGAGCACAGTACTGCCCTGGAGAACTCCGCTGACATGGGAGACAGGCACCCAATTCTCCTACTTCAATGAAATATTCCCGTCACACCTTCGAGCTAAAGGCGTCTCGATTGGCTTCGCCGTGATCGCGGCCATGAACGTCATGTGGCTATCTGTCACCCCAACCGCATTCAAGTAAGCCACCCCTTGCTTTCGCACTTATCTCCCAAGTGCCGAGCACGAACCTGATTGCAACTCACTGATGTTTTGCCAGCCACATCGGATGGAAGTATTACCTGTGCTTCATCATTCCCGGCACCTTGGGCGCCATCTGCATCATCCTCTTCTTCCCAGACACCATGGGCAAACCACTCGAGGAGATTGGCGCCCTCTTCGGCGACGAGGACGAAGTGGCTGTTTACCAGCGCGACATTGTTCTAGACGCGAACAGGAATGTGCTGGTCGACCACGCGCACGGCGACGATGTCATTGACGACGTCATGCTCGAGAAGGAGGGAAAAGTCCATGCGGAGGGCGTCACTAGAGTCGCAAGTGACGTCTGAAAAAGTTTACCACGGAGGTTTGTTCCTGCCTTACTTGAATCCTTGTTGGGAGATGGGTTCCTACGGACCTTGTCCCTAGTCTCTCTGAGGGTCGTGCTTTCTGAGGAACGACAGTGAAAGTATTTCTCTCTCATACACACCAAAAAAAAAAAGGTGGTCTTTCGCGGGATTGTGGAACAGGCCAACGTCAACGGTAGGAATGATAATATGGAAGAGGCCCTCTCTGTTTCTTGGACTGTTTTGTACATAGGAAGATCAGTGGTGACGCAAAGAAGACCAACAGTACCAATGACATTCACCTGTATTAATCCGACTTACACCCAGAGTCGACGCTGTTGTTTACGTGACGAACTTGACTGTGGGAACAGACCAGGCAAAACTTTTCAGATGATTCGCGAGTGTCTTTGCGTTTTATGTGGTACTCGTATACTTTCTTAGACTGTGAAGGTTTAAATAGGCTCGATCCTTGACTTGGCTGTCCGAAATGCACTTGGAGTCCTCGGTCTCGGGATTATTACCTCGGAACCACATTGAGTAGGGACATGGAATTCTCAATACGGTAATTCCGCCCCACTTTACGTTCTAACTGTATTAGGAATAATACCCGCGCGGGCTTGTCATTTGCGGTACACGCACCATCTTCGAGTTTCCGGGGTAGATACCTACTCACTAGGTAGCCAGATGGCCAAGCTTGTGGCACTGATGTCTTTCCCCGTAATATTCGCCGTCGAACAGAAATGGAGTCTGGACTGGGAACTATGCACGAAAGGGAGTCTTTTTTTGGGATAGATACAATGGCCAACACCTTTCTTTGTACGATCCCCGGGAGGAGCCCCCCTCATCCGAGAGCAAAATCCCAAAGAAATGAAATGGCGGACGACAAGTCAGGCTCCGGGTGAACTAATCAGCTCAGTTATACTCTTATATCTACGGGGAGCAGTCTGGGAGTAATTATGGAGATTCAAAATTGATGACAGTGCCTCCTACTTGTTCTCTGCACATTCTATCCGGGGGAACCTCGATTCGCAAAGTGTTTGCATGATTTGCGGGGATGCCACGAAGCGAGCGGAAAACGAACAATCAGACCCTTGCCCGTTCTCTTTTCCCACATGTACCCAGAGACGATCATCTACTCCGTACAACAGCAAATTTGGTGGTGTTCAGTGCTCATCCGGGGACCAATGTCCGGGACGCTAACTCGTATTTACCCCTCGCCGGGCCGAAAATTGCCATGGGAACAACACCACGCCCTGGATTCCTACTACACGAGTTGTCGATATAAATACCTGTATACACTGGTTTATTTTTGGCCCGCTCACTTGTTACGACTGCTTAGAATCTGGGAGACTAGAGTGCAAGTACGTACCTATTGTCACGCGAAGCGACGACCGACGACCGATAAAAGAAATGGCACCGAAATCCTTTAGCGAGTTACCATCGTTTGATGAGTTGAAAGACAAGCGGCGTTTCTGGGTCGGTGAACCGTCCAGCGCCGAGGAAGGTTTGGGGATGCTACGATATCTGACGCCCGAGCACGTCGCCGGTGCGGCGCGGTCAGAGATCCGGACGGGCGAACGGGTCTGCCTGAATTGGGAGATGACAAAGTTGGAGACGCCAGGTAGGCACAAAATAACCCCTGCCCAGTTTTCTTTTTTTTTTCGAATGTTAGGAAGTAGAAGTTTTCCAAGAGACATATGATGGACCGACTCTCTCCCTCTAGGATTCGGTCGCGAACCCGTCGTGCACGAGATCAAAACGATTCCCAACTACGAAGGCATCGCGTGGGATGACGTGTGGCACTTCAACCCGCAGGCGGGGTCCCAATGGGACGGATTTCGACACTTCAGCACCGCGACCGAGGACGGGAAGGGTCGCGTCTTCTACGGAGGGACGCAATCCGAGGAGATCAACGACCCCGGCAGCGCGAGGATCGGGATCGGGTTCTGGGCGCAGGACGGGATCGCGAGTCGGGGATTTCTGATCGACTACGTCTCGTACGCGGAGCAGAAGGGCATCAACGTCAACGGCATCGGGGGCCAGAAGATCACGCTGGACGACGTCTACGAGATCGCGCGGCAGTGCAAGATCGAGTTCCGCCCGGGCGACATCTTCTTCCTGCGCTGCGGCTTCACCAAGACGTGGGACGCGCTGTCCATGGACCAGAAGCGACAGTACCGCGCCGACACGGCCGCGAAGCAGCACAAGCACTCGGGCCTGGAGCAGGGGGAGAGGGTCGCCCGCTTCCTCTGGGACAACCACATCGTGGCCGTCGCGGGCGATGGCGTCAGCTTCGAGGTCCGACCCAACCACGACCCCCAGTGGGATTTGCACCATATCCTGCTCGCGGGGTGGGGTGTCCCCATTGGAGAGATGTTTGATTTGGAGCGTCTGGCCGAGACGTGCAAGCGGCTGGGCAGATGGACCTTTTTTGTGACGAGCAGCCCCTTGAACCATCCGAGGGCGGTCTCGTCGCCACCGAACTGTATGGCTATCTTTTGAGCACGTACAAGCTTGGGCCGCCCAAGCGCGCTGAACATACATATGGAGACATGGTCATATGGATTCTTTGGTCCTGTGCTCCTGCTTGTCAGATGCCTTCTGTCACAGGATATAATAGACTTCTTGCCCATAAGAGTATCGAGTTGTCTGTTTGGCAGTGGATAGACAGTAGGCACATTCCGAACCCCCTAGGAGATCAGACCCGGCGTACAATGAGGGAGAGCCTTCAAAAGGCAGTTCACTATTGTATACTAGACGCTACCATTATCCCCACTCGGATGGGAATGAGCCCATACCACAGCATGCCTCGTCTAGAACTTCCATTGACCCAGCCAAATCCTCATCCAGTCCGAGCTGACAGGAGCCAATTCGGCCATAGTCTTACTACACTCCGTTCCTCGTTGCGTCTCGTACAGGGGACTTTGACGGTCCCCTTCGGCGATACCTTTGAAGAAGTCGATGATCTTGACGGCCGGCACAGAGGCGACCGCACTGGGATCAGTTACATCCACTGCTTCCAGGGCAGCAATCCACTCGGCGAGGGGAACCGCATCGAGGTTTTGGGGCTGGAACCATTTCTGGATCGTAGATACGAATGCCGACCAAGGGACGTATCGAGGGTTGACGAGGTTGAAGACTTGCAGGTCGTCTTTGCGGTCGGCGTGGACAATATCTACCACGATGCTGGCGAGGCGGTCGACCGGAATCCAGTTCACGTCGGGCAAGAAATCCGGAATCTTGCCCAACGCTTTGGACGACTTCACGAGCGAAGGGAACCATTCGACCTCGTGCCAGCTGCCGCCTCCCTCCAGCGGGCCGGCGATCTGACCGACCCGCAGAATAGTGGCGCGGATCCCGAGGTCTTGCACCGCAATCTGCAGGATCTGCTCCGACACATGCTTCGATTCGCCGTAGCCTTGTCGTTGGGCGACGTGGAAGTCAGTCATGGGTCTCTCGGGCGCCGCCGAGTTCTCACCCGTCACTTCTGCCCAGTTGCCCACGGAGGAGACCGACGAGACGAAGAGCAGATGCGGCCGTCTCGCGCTCGTCCGTGTAAATTCCACAAGGCTCGCGACTCCGGCGATTACCGGCTCAAACGATCCGACTTTGTGATTGAAGTCGACTTTCCACGCGTTGTGGATGATGACGGTAGTGTTCTGGAGGATTTCGCGGTACAGGTCCGCAGAGATGCCAAAGTCCGGCTGAACCAGGTCTACCGTCACAAAAATCAAGCGTGGATCGTCGACGTCGTGGCTGGCGGCGATGTTGAGGAATCCCCGTCGTTGTCTCTCTTTGGCGTCCGCGGTGCGGTTGAAGCAGTAGATCTTGTCTACGCTGGGATCTTTCAGAAGTGCTAACAGCAAATATGTGCCTAGCGATCCCGTCGTGCCCGTCAATACGACGGAGTTGGGCAATCCCTCCTTCTGCCGCCATCGCTGAGTATACTTCTCCACCAGGCTTGCCATGACATCTTCCCGATTGGACTCGCCATTAGCATCCGGCGCGTGACCGTTCAGGACTGTGTGGACGAATCTTGCCAGATCCGCCACACAAGAATGCGCATAGATTTGCTTCGAGGTGATGCCGTTTCTCGACTCCTGGAGGAGATGCTGCTTGATTCCAGCCGAGAGGCGCTTGGAAATCTCCAGAATCTGCAAAGAGTCCACTCCCAGCGCGAAGAGATCCTGATGGTCGGACTTAGGAGGCTGCTCAAGAAGATCGTTAATGCATTCGCGGACAAAGTTGGTGACCGCAATCAAGTCACGCGGGTCATCGAGCCTAGGGACGACCCCTGATTGACCGTCATCGCCGTTCGACTCCGAGTACAGTGCGTCTAGCTCTTCCGAGTAGTCCTTCCACGTCATTTTGCGGACAACTGTCCCTTTGGCGGCCCTCCTGAATGGCTTTTCAGAGGAGGCTACAACCACTTTGTCCGGGAACAGATGGGCGTGTCGCGGGGCCTCCAGGTTGGCCTTCTCCACCAGAGGCCATATTTGTTTGATGAAATCGCGATGAGAGGACTTTGGTACGTCTGACTTGGGCTCTACTAAGAGAGCCGGCTGGAATCTCCCTTGACCGTAATAAAGCGCTCCTCGTAGCAAAGGGTGACCTTGTATGATCGCCTCCATCGGCACAGGGTTAAACTTCTCACCATTGGAGAGAACCAAGACATCATCGAGCCGACCGTGGAAGCGCCAGAGCCCGGGTTTCTTGGGGTGTGGGCGATAAAGATCTGAGGACTTCCACACATCCAGATGCGGCATCGTGTGGGACACTGTGCGAATCCACCGAAGCTCCGGCTGCTGCTTGAGGACTAGTTCATACGTGTCGTCGGCCCGAGGCTCCATGTCGACGTTGTAGAAGGGCTGCCATTCAAAGTACGCCCAGTCGCTCCTGGATGGCACCAGGCCAGGGATAGGGCCGGTCTCAGTCGAGCCGATAAGTTGGCAGATGTCTGTTTTCTGACTTACTCGGTCACCAGCAGACGGTGCCAGTGGTCCGCCCGTGAACATGACAAAGTCCATGTTCGAGACGTAATCGAGGCCCTCGCTTTCTTGAGCCAGTTGTTCGATGACGGTCGGCGGCACCAGCAGACCTCGGAGTCTATACTGCTGCTGTTCCAGATAGCGCATCATTGCAAGACACATCTCACCGGTCGTAGGTCGATCTGGAGGTGGGATCACCGCTATCGAATTGTACATCAATGGCAGCATGCCCGCAATCATCCCTGTTGCCTGGACGCACAATTCAGCACTTGGAACAACAGAGTGTGAATTAAAACGCCTACATGGAAGGGCGGAAAGCTTGAAATGAACAAGTCCCTGTCCTTGAAACTGAATATGGACCAATCCTGGTTCTTCCTCCCTGGTGTGGTCGGAATCTTGCGCAGGTTATCGACCACAGCCCAATTGCCGTTGGTGAGCGTGATGGGCTTTGGTGCTCCTGTTCACATCACAAATAAGCCCTGGTCATAATAAGAATTCTTTGGCACCTGTTCGCTCACCTGTGGATCCGGAAGTGTGACAGATCAAGACGGGATCGTCTTCTGCTTCTGCAAAAGTCTTTTCATAGACATACTCGGGTGTTTCTTCAGCAATCAACTTCCGATACGATGGCAAGGTAAAGACCTGCAGATCGTCGACCATGCCCTTGATGTGACTTGCGCGATCGATCAACTCGGAAGTGCAAACGAACTTGGTGCATTTCGTCGCCTCCAGCAGAGACAAGTATCCCGCATCTGAATTTCGTATCGAGATGCAAAGGAGCTACCCACAAGACCCGTCCCATTAGCATGAACCGGTTTCGCAGAGGCCCAGGTCTGCGAACCTTGTAGCCACACATAATGCCCGCTATATGGATAATTTCGTAGCGCAGATCAGAAGGTCCGATGTACGCCAGCGTCTCAAAACCCTCACTGTGGCCGACATGATGTTTGATCCACCATGCAGTGGCATTGACGGCATGATATAGTTCTGCGGCTGTGACGGTGTGGTGTCCGGCAAATATGTCTGGGTGTTCGAAGATGATGGCCACGGGCTTGGTGGGCTCGCTTCTTGCAAGGTCACGAAGGATGTGTGGTAGTAATCTCTGACCATATGCTGGCAATAACCCGTTGCTGAGGCCTTCTGTCGACCCCATATTGGAGCAACAACAGGGTGAGGACAAGTCTGGGTAGGGGAAGTGTTTGTTTTCATAAATAAAATGCAAGTTATGCCTGCCTACCGTCAGCCAGACATTATGCGTTGGGCACACATCCACCCCGAAGATGCTAGATAGTATTGTAACTAGGTGTACACCTCTGTTTGCTGGCGGAGACCTTGACGGCGAAACACTTCCGCGGCAGACACGGGGGTGAAAATGGCTCCCCTCACGCCGTCCCCGGGCAGATTTCTGAACTTCCGGCAAGGGTGGTGAAGACAAACGGGCACGGATTGAACTATAATATTGTTTTGCTACTTCTCGTGCACGCCATCAAGAATCTAAAATCTCACAGACGCTCTAATTATTGACTAGGTGGACATCCCCAACTTCACAGCCCATTCAAATGTCCAACAGGATACTTAAGAGCAGAATGGACGGACCAAGGTATCTCGAAGGGACGAGCCACACTCCCACCCTTGATTTGGTAGAGCTCCCTCTTAAGAATCAGCAACGGGAGCTATGATAGCTTGACTAGTAGTCTCATGGTCATCGAGATCTAGTAATGTAAAGGACTTGGTTGCGGGATTCTATATAGCTTGTACTGTCTAGAGAACTATAGTAATATCGGTCCTTACCTACCGACTCATTAGACATTCTTCAGACCAGTGCCTCTCTCGCTCACCTCCGAGTTCCGTCAGTCCCCTACTCCTCTGCCGTACTCCCTCCCTATGGCTTTGGCGAAACACGCCGCCGTTGAGACCAGAGTCACCAGACTCTTGCAGCCGACGATAACCAACTCTGGATCGGACATCATTCTTCACGGACTATTACCATGAAACGACCAAAACGGCCATGAGTAGATGCTTTCCATGCTTGCAGGTTCACCTTGGGCAACAGTTTTGGCAACATGACCCTATGCTCAGGTTAGCACCAGAGCTTCTTCGCATACAACTTCGTGTAAGAGACCAAGCTACGGATTTTGAGGGCCACTCCAGGAGCAGCCGGCAACAGAAGCCCTTTACAAACAAGAGTTTTGGTCACTTACACCCGTCTACATTTACACCAAGCCCACGAACAAGTCCTATGCCTTGGTACCCTACCTCTATCGCGGGGATTGGATCATCAGGGAGTAAGAGATGAATGACAAACCACTGCTTCACGCTTTACAGTGTATCCGAGTTCTGAGCCCGTCAACTTTGCCCTGGCCGACTGGGGAACGTTCTGGTTTGCGGAGGCATCGCTTCTATTGTGGGTTTCGGAGTATGAACTCCGGGGTCACCCCTCAGAAACAACCAGTGTCCATTGGACCGGTAGAGATCTGTTCCATCTATTCTAGCGGGGTAAATGGAGCCAAGCGCTCTATACTCTTAGAACATGTTTCCCCCAGTTACGGGTAGCGATGGCCGAGACCAGGCCCTCTACACTGACGGCCATTCAATCCCGAGGGAATCGGGTGATCCCCCGCGTAGTTTGGGCGTTTGGGAAAGGTGATCGTTCCACGGAAGTTCAAACAGATCATGCAATGTAGGAGAATCTCGAGTCATGGTTAACCGGTCGACACTTGATGTCTTGATTAATACCCTCTCTCGTCCCAGGAACCGGGACGGAAGTTCTTGCGACTTGTGCCACTTTACCGGGGATATCTTTCCAAAGTAAAGCCGTTTTCCCCCTCTTAGAACATAAAAAGACGCCAGTATGGCTCAAAACGGCGTGAAAGAATACGACGCGATAATTGTGGGGGGCGGATTCGGCGGGTGCTACCTCCTTCGCAACCTGCGCAAACTCGGCTATAACGTCAAGTTATTCGAAGAGGGAGAAGGCCTCGGCGGCGTGTGGTGGCACAACTCGTACCCCGGTGCCCGCGTCGACACCAGCGCACCGTTTTACGAGTTCTCGGACCCAGAGCTCTGGTCTGACTGGAACTGGGAGGAAGCCTTCCCGGGCCAGAAGGAACTCACCGAGTATTTCAAGTACGTCGACAAGAAGTGGGATCTGAGCAAGGACATCCTGTTCGGCACGCGGGTGACGGGCGCCGAGTGGAACGAGAAGGAGCGGAAATGGCTCGTGCACACCAACAACGACACTCAAGCCGTGACGAGGTTCCTGCTTCTCGCGACGGGGTTTGCTGCCAAGATCTACGTTCCTCCCCTAAAAGGATTGGAAACGTTCCAGGGCATCGCTTGTCACACCGCTCGATGGCCAAAGGGTGGGATTGACTTTAGGGGCAAGCGTGTTGGTGTCATTGGAACCGGCGCCAGCGGTGTCCAAGTGATCCAGGAGATTGGTAGGGTCACCAAGGAGCTCACCGTCTTCCAACGGACGCCAAACTACTCCATGCCCATGGGCCAGCAGAAGCTCAACGTGGAGCTGCAAATGGCCAAGAAGAAGGGGTACGGGGATTTGTTCAAACTCATGAAGCAAACCTATGCTGGATGGGACTATAACCCGGACCCACGGAAGGGATTGGAAGACGACGAGGCTGAGAGGCTGAGGTTTTGGGAGTCTCTCTGGAAGAAAGGAGGGTTCAACCCCTGGCTCGGCAATTACAGCGACCTCATGGGCAACGAGGAGGTCAACACATTGATGTACAACTTCTGGCGTGACAAGGTCCGAGCGAGAATAACCAAGGACGACCCCGAGCTGAAAGAAAACCTGGCCCCCGAGAAGCCACCCCATCCCTTCGGCACCAAGCGTCCATCTCTGGAGCAAGACTACTACGAGGTGTACAATCTGCCACATGTCAACCTGGTGCCCCTGAAGAAGAACCCGATTGAGGAGATCACGCCGACTGGACTGCGCACGGCCGACGGGAAAGAATACGACTTGGACATCCTCGTCCTCGCGACCGGGTTTGACGCTGTGACGGGCAGCTTCACGCGGATAGACATCAAGGGCACCGACGGCCTCTCACTCAAGGACGACTGGGCAAACGGCTCCCGGACATTTTTGGGCATGGCGACGTCCGGCTTCCCCAACATGCTGTTCATGTACGGCCCGCAGAGTCCGACCGCGTTCGCCATCGGGCCCACCATCTCCGAGATCCAGGGCGACTGGATCATCAAGACCCTCGAGGCCATGAAGCAGAACAAGCAGACGCGGATCGACGCGACCCGCGACGCCGAGGACAAATGGGGCAAGACCACCAACGATGACGCCAACTTGACTCTGATCCCCAAGAACGAAACGAGCTGGTACATGGGCGGCAACATCCCGGGAAAGCCACGCGAGTCTCTGAATTATGTTGCCGGGTTGCCCAGCTACCGCAAGGCCATCGATGAATGTATCGAGAATGGATTTGAAGGGTTCGTGTTTAGCTAGATAGAATCCCCTTGGCGAGAACCGAGCAAGATCTGAGATCTGAGTTGCTATGTATCGATGACAAGCGTTTTAACGTCCTCAACAACACGTAGGAAGCCATCTTGTCGCGTAGACCACTCTCTTCTAAACCACACATCACTTGGCCCTTTTCGATGCCATTTGAAGGGGAACACCAGGCGGCTCACCTTGGTTCAATAGCAGGCTAGGTGGTGAAAGATGGCGACAAGGCGACTGTGCATCATAGGTCCAAACCAAGAATGCAGGACAAAGAATGCCCTCGCGACAGCAATTTAGAAAAATTCCCAGTTTCGGTGTCCTGCCAAGGATTCCGCTCGGCTGGGAATCCGATACCGGCCACAGAGATGACCCCTTATCATCACGTGTGAGGGGTCGAACTCTCCATGGTCCCACGCGTCCAGGTTCAATGGACGCACGGTTGACCCGAAACCCGAGGCAGACAAATCAATCAAGTCAATTGCGCCACCATCAGTGTAATCGAGGGGTCGCTGTTGGGTCCCCGGGGGGGATCTTTCTCGGTGGGATTTTCTCGAAACTCGAAGCTCTAGCGACTGCTAGAGGATCTCGGAAATGCACACAACAAGCATTAACTGACTGACTTAACTGAGACTTACTCGTTCGGGGGCACCCGTTCGTTTCGTCTCCCGCATCTCCCATTCCCCTCTCCTCGATTTCTCATCCTCTCATCCACGCACACAACATCGACACCTTCTGCTTTTGCTTTTTTTCTTCTTCCCTTTTTTTTGTATATGATCAGGACTTCCTCTCTATGCATACGACATAGACTGGTACTCCGTTGTTGCGTCGGACACCACAGATTTGCTCATTCAGGCGTCCGAGCTCCTCACATCGTCACCGAGCTGAGCAACATGGCCGCCGCCATCCCGCACCCAGAACTACCCACTCCGGCACACCTCGATCGCGACTCTGCGCTCGGGCGCAAGTTCGGGAAAGAGGTGACGAATTATTTTGGAGGTGAGCAGGACCTCCTCCCACACGCTTGCATATGACGAGTAGAGTTGTCTTATCTCTCGAGCTGGACGGCCCTCTTTGAACCATTTCCCCCCCCCCCCCCCTCTCTCTTCTCTGACCCTAGGGATCCTGACATTTTGTTTCTTTTCTCGTTTCTTTGCCGGTAGGGTCGCCGATCAACCGCGTCTCGTTCCTCCGCGAAGACTACCCCTTCCTCGCCGGCGCGTTTGCGCACCCGTCGGCGCGCTTCCTCGTCTTCAAGACCCTCTCCCCGCTGGTCAAGTCCCCTACCGAGATCCACTTTGCGACCTACGACGAGATCAAGACCATCCTGCCCGAGAACCCGTTCGCGCGGCCCGAAAAGGACATCATCGCCGACTTCGACTCGAGCATAGATATCCCCCAGGTGGTCTTTCTGGGCCTGGATGAGAAGGTCACCGACGGCTACTCGTACAAGAATTTCACGGGTGCGCCGCACTGGGCCGTGGACATCACGCCCAAGAAGACATATGAGAAGGAGGCCAACGAGTTGATTGAGTCGTTTGTGGCAAATGGGCTCAAGTTTAGTGAGGGGATGCGGGCCATGAGTTTCCCGGCCGACATTGGTGAGTTTGTCACAAGTGATAGCCTGGCCTGGCCGAAATACTTCCCCTCCGTGGCCGCATGCTGACCTCTGGGTGTTGAAAAACAAAAGCTGCCCAGTACGCTCAGGGCCGCCACTATCTCGACTGGAACTACCGCAACACCTTCTGCGGCACGTGTGGTCATAGAACCCTCTCCACGCACGCCGGTGCCAAACGAGTCTGTCCCCCCACCGATAAAGCCGAAACCCCCCAGGAGCGCGAACCTTGCACCACCCGGACCACGCTCTCGAACCTGACGTTCCCCCGCACCGATCCCACCGTCATCGTCGCCGTCCTCAGCCACGACAGCAAACGCCTCCTCCTGGGCCGACAAAAGCGCTGGCCACCCCACTGGTTTTCCACACTCGCGGGCTTCATTGAGCCAGCCGAGAGTGTCGAGGACGCCGTCCGTCGCGAAGTCTGGGAGGAGTCCGGAGTCGTGCTGTCGCGCGTCCTCGTGCATTCCACCCAGCCCTGGCCGTACCCGGCGAATTTGATGATTGGTGCTATTGCGCAGGCGGCGTCGCCGGAGGACGAGGCGATTCGCTTGGAGTACGATCCCGAATTGGAAATGGCGAAATGGTTCACATTGGAGGAGGTTCAAGAGGCTCTCCAGAACGGGACAAGCGGGCTCGGCGATCCGCCCCCAGAGGGGTACAAGGAGGGTGGGTTGAGATTACCGCCTCCAACGGCAATTGCGAACCAGTTGATCTCGGCGGTAGTGAAAGGTGGGTTTTTGGAGGGTGTCACGCCGATCACGAAGCTGTAGAGTGAGAAAGGGATTCGTTGGTGCTTGGAGGTGACTGACATGTTGTGCGAGGTCTTGTTATCAGCTCGCGCCCATCCTCGTTTCTGTCAGCCGGATAGACATCTTTTGAGTCCTAGATCCCTGCCAATTCTAGAAACCGGGTTCACGTGACGGTTGAGTAAGAGCTGAAACTCTCTCATCTCTGATCTTTAATGCCCACGACCACAAAATTCCGCGGACTTTGCTTGTAGTCGAAGACAACATCAACCCAGCAGTCCGCTATATCCGGCTGCTCTTTCAGAAAGAGCCAGCGGTCCGTGACGATGATGCTCTCGACGACGCCGGCGCTGAAGGCCATGAGGCTCCAGATGACGGCCAAGTTCTTCTTCGCGTATGAGAAACGTCGCTCGTAGTCGTCAATCACCTCGTCGGTGAGTTTGCCTTTGGTCAGGGCTTCCACCATGGGGCCGTCGACGGGATCGGCCTTCAGCTTCTCCAGCGCGCCGTTCACATAGGCCCGGAAGCTTGTGAAGCAGGCTTTCCGAAGCGAGCCAATGATGAGAGGCGTGCCGGCCTCGTTTCGCCCCGTGATGCTGCCCCCAGCGACCTCCTGCTTGCCCGGGTCGCGACACTGCTTGACCACGCCAAGGTCGAGCAGGATCTTCTGCAGCAGCGTGCGATAAAAGTGCCGTCGGAAGAAGGCCTCGCTGTCTGAGGGACCCCAGTTGTACGGCGCCTGCACGGCCATCATTCGCGCCGTGATGTTCAGCCTTACCCCTCGCCCGCCGTCGGCGTCCCGGAAGTCCTCCAACGTGCGGGACATTGGGAACCCGTGTGGGTCGTATGCCGAGCCCGTGGCCTCCAGGCGCGGGTGGTTCGGGCGCAGTTGTGGGAGCTTGTAGGTTGCCGGCCCAAGTCGCTCGGTGACCAAGTTGTAGCAGCAGCCTATTACGGCGACAGCGCAGACGCTGGGATTGAGAGTCAGAGAACGCAGCGCGTGGTGAGAAAGATTGCCGCAGGAGTGAAGCGAGATGACCATGGCTTTCGGCCTTTCCTTGTTTTTGTCAACGAGTCCATTTGCTGTTTTCGTTGCAGCAGGACCTTCGACATTTTCAGGGTGTCCTTCGCTCAACTTTTGAGGAGCCTCTAACGGGTAAAGGATATTCTCGAGATATCCGTCCTTGACGTCGTGTTCAATATACGTCATTGACCCGCTGTCTGGATCGAGGTCTGTTTTCTCCAGGATCTTTGCCGCCGCGAACATCTCCGGTATGGGTGACGGCTCCACGTTATGCACTTCTGAGGAAGAAGGAGGGGTAGGCATCTCATCCTTCCGTTCCATCTGCCGTTTCCATTCTTTCTTGTTGCGCATAATCTTCTCCTTCTGCGCCAATTTCGCATGGACGTCCATCGACCTGGCACCGGTAATGTTGTGGTGTTTTCTCTCTATGGCCACCACGTGCTGGTTGTATGGTGGAGATGCCAGCGTTCGGCCCAGATAGTTCTGCCCGGAGCCGAAATCAACAACTGAGATGGGTTCTTGGAGCCGTTGTGAGACATCTTCGGAGAGTCTAGCCACATATGCGGCGAAATTCGTCACTTCATGGACCTTCTTGGTGTTCATGCCCACGCAGACCTGTCTTGGCACGTCTGGAACTTCATCCGAGATGGGCGTGAAGTGCCTTCGAAGGCAGTGTTTTCGAATCGTGTGCACATACTCCAGCAGCGTCGTTGGGGGAGAGTGACGTGGATCAGTAGTGGTTGACGACACTTGGGAGTATTCTCCCAGGTCATTTCTGAGAAGCAAGTCAAGAACATCGTCAATCTCCACCTTATCGAACCAGTCGCGCCATTCTAGTGGCAGGACCGTTGTATAAAGGTCCGGTTCTCGCGTCAGGAAATCAAGGATGTGGACGCCGCCACAGAGATTTCGAAAGAGGTCGGAACTCGTTGCGAAGTTCAATGCGGACTGGATGTATTCGTCCTCAGATGTCCACGCCGGATCGAGGGGTAGCCGGAGTCCCGTTCTCCGGTCTGAAAGGGCTCCCATCATTGTTTAGGCCTGATCAACATCTGTACACATCGAGTCTTCTGGGTCGGAAGTTCCTGGAATGTCAGTCCATTTTGTGTCGTGCAACCTTGTCACATACATCCTCGTCGTTCAGTGCAGAAAATTGAGAGTAACTTCAATGCCAAGGCGCTAAGAGCATTTTAACGAGGTGAATTAACACGGGCAAAGGGGGCCTCAGCCTCACAACCAGGAATCATTCAGCGTCTCGGGGCCAGAGTCAAGGTGCCTCGTTTGTGGTCGGTTAATGAAAAGCATCTCTAAAGATGTGCTAGAAACGGGAAACATGCGACTTAGTCGAGAGCTTTGGTTGATATCATGTCTCTTTCGCCCGAGGCTACTGGCTCATTCGAGATTATGTGCATCTATTCATGTCACTTCACTCGTGGGTATCATTGTGTAAACAATAGTCAAAAGGAAGAATCAATCCAAGCCAATCCATTCCGCCTCACCATCCTCAGCGTTGACCGTCTCCCCATTTGGGTGGTGGTTGTGTTGATACAAATTTGTCGACATCAGCTGGTTGCCACCTTTAGGTTGTTGGCACAAGAATTCAATCTCAAAGACATTCCGTTCACTGAGACTGCGGACTGTTTTCCCTCTGCTGTCAACTCCGCGAAGGATTGAGCGAAGCTCGGCTGCGAATTCGCCATGCCTCTCCTTGATGTATCGACCGTGGACACTCAGTATCTCGCCCAGCCAACGAAGTGCAAACTCCAAATGAGGGTGATTCTCCATTTGCTGGGCAATGAGCATCAACAATTTCCCAAGATATACTTTGGGTAGTTCACGGACAAGTAACGGCACCGACCCGAATGGAACTGCCTCGTATGCCTGTCGGAGCAGAGGCTTGTCGTTGAGTCTGAATGCCATGATCAGAGCCTTGAGATACTCGGGTTCCTCCTGGGCAAGGATAGCTCGAACATTCTGCGGAGTAACGTCGATATCGAGATCAAATGGATCAAAATCTTCCATTCCCACATTGTCGAGGCTGTAAATTAAGAGACCTTCGGTGCTCGCCGCGCAGAAACTCCTTCCAGTAGGTGCAAACTCGACATCAGCGACCCTGACCTCTGGACGAATAGTCCTTGCCGTCGCATCTCTTCCACGCTTCGCACCTGGAAGGCTACGGTCGATGCGATCTTCGAGGTCACTCGCCTCGCCTTCTGTGTCCAGCATGTCTTTGGGAAGGCCATTGGACATGATAGCTGCTGAATTCAAAAATTCTTGCGTGCCATCCAAACTCAGGTTGATGGAGATGGTGAATTTCTTGATCAATGTCAGCGTGCTAACCGAGTATAGACAGATGTATTTGCTGTTCCCAGCTGCGAGAAGGCAGCTTCCGTCCGCGGAATATACAATCGAGTTGAATGATTTCGTTCCAGGGGTTGATGCTGCTGTACGCCGGGAAGTCAGTGTCCGACCTCCACTGACGTCTCGACGACCGTCGAAACCTGATTCTTGTATCGAGGTATTTAAATTCCAAAAAGTAAGCTGCCCATCAAGTGTGGAAGCTGCGATTTGTGCAGAGTCAGGCCGAACTGCAATACAAAGAAGGTCCGACATGAGTTGTAAGGTTTCCGACGACTGGGATCGGTCGAACACAGACCATACCCGTATGGTGTGATCCCAGGACCCCGAGACAAGATGGCGCCCATCTGGAGTAAACGCGAGCGTCGATATCGGTCCTTCATGACCTGCTAGCCGATCGAGGAGAGCTCCGGTCTGCACGGACCATATATGAATGTCAAAGGAATCGTGGGACGCGGCGCAGACGACCTCCGCAGAAGGGTCGACGGCTAGACAGGAGAAGGAGAGTCTTTGAGGAGCGGTGAAAGTCCTGAAGTTTCGATATCTCAGCATGTCCCATGCTCGGACGGATCCGTCTAGAGATGAAGTAAAAAGAATGTTGCCTCGCTTCGAGTATGCAGATGCGGTGACAGCAGAGTTATGTTCCGAGAAGGTCGCAATGTGGAAGCCAGAAGAGACATCCCAAACTTTGATTAGCCCGTCGTCAGCACCAGTAATGATGCGACTAGAATCTGGAGAATACGTCAAAGTCGTCATTGTGTCAAGATGAGAAGACTGCTTGAGGATGTTTGACTCGGAAGTATACTCCCATACAAGTAACTGCCCGGTTTTAGAGGAGCCAAAGGCCAGCCATTCCCCCGTGTTGTTGATAGTTACCGTTGAAATGGGTGAAGATGCCATCGACAGGCTATGGATGTTCGAAAAGGACGGAGTCTCATACAAGGAAAAAAGGCCATTGTCGAAGCAGGCAGTCAGCAAATTGGTTGATGGATGGTATGAAGCGCACTTCAGTTTTGCGTTCTGCATGAAATAGTCCCTCTGTACAATTCGCCACCTCTCATCAATCGGCTCTATCGACTCGTCGCTGTCGGCTTGTTGGCTGGCCATATATTCCCAACGGAAAAGCGCTCCGTCTTCGCTTATTGTGAAGATAGATTCCTGATCGGCGGAGAACCAGACGCCCCTGACTTGCTGTCTATGGCCCGAGAGGACCGTTGGCTCGAACCCTTCCTCTGGGTCCAAACTCCATATGCGTGCGGTAAGGTCCTTGGATGCACTGAGGAAGAACCGTGAGTCGCCCGACCAACTCAAATGTCTGACATCGTCAAAGTGGCCTCCGTATTCGCGATGAAGAATGAATGGCGCGAATTCGAGGTCCCCGTCAGCATTTCCGCCGGGCGTGGAAGGTGTCCGCCATGCCTGAATCTTTCTGCCAATCCCCACCACGAAATGACGACCGTCTGGAGCAAACGCCAATGATGTTACCGGCGACTTAAAGGAGAAATGGTATATCGCGACTCTTCTGGAGAAGATAGATAGTATTGCGCGGCCATCCTCGTCAATAGTGAGGAGGAGGTTTCCATCTGGGGAAAGGTCGAGGTGGGTAATGTTCTTTCGGTGGGCGAAGGGGAAGGTGTAACTAGTGTTCCTGCGCGATAATATGTTAGTTTCAAGTTCATGATTATCCCACGGAGGGTTTCTCACTTTGTTAAATTAAACACAGTGATACGATTGCCGACTGGTGAGAGCAGAGAGTTGCCGTCCGGTGTGAAGACAAGGTTGCCTTGACGGTAGACAGTACCCAAGAGGTTTGAAAACTGTGACAGAGTATTAGAGTGATGGCATCAACAACGAGTCTGTCCTACAAACCTTGAATTCCGTCTTCATTGTCTCATGGCTGTGCAGTCCAGGTCGGCGCATGTATGCACAATTCCCAGTCTACCATCTACCAAAATGCGGCTTCGAAAAAAAAGTTATCGGAGAAAATGATTGATTTTCTCCGGAACTAGGACGCTTATGGTTAAGTGCACGCCGTGATCTGGGGCAAGCCTGCTAGTGAAAATTGGCGTTTCAGGGGCGCGACTTGTCCCTACACTTTCTGCGAGGATCAATTAAGGAAACCCCTAACCACGAACCACGTTGTCAATTTGAAAGTGCAGTCCTCCATTCTTCATTCTCTTCATCGTTTCTCCAGTCGGACTCTCGCTACTGGTATTGTTGTCATCGTCTCCTTTGCCGGGTCTTTCTACTTGATTATCTCTCCTCAAAATCTGCGATCAAGATGGCTCCAGCTGCAGCGGAGTCTCCATCGCCCATTGGCATTGCCAATTTGCCTAACCAGCGACACAAGATCGTCGCAAAGAGAGGCGCCGCTTTCACTATCATGGTAGAACCAATGTCTTCCGAGTACGCAGGTCGGTTGCTAACTGTTATTCAGGTCGCCGGCGAGTCAGGCTTAGGCAAAACAACCTTCATCAACACTCTCTTCTCCACCACTATCAAGAACTACCAAGACCACAAGAGGCGCCATGCAAAGCAGGTTGACAAGACAGTGGAGATTGAAATCACAAAAGCTGAACTGGAAGAGAAGTTCTTTAAAGGTACATTTCAGATATAGCGCATCCAGCTATGACACCAGTCTAATCAATTTGCTAGTTCGTCTCACCGTCATTGACACCCCTGGCTTCGGCGACTATGTCAACAATCGCGACTCCTGGATGCCTATCATTGAATTTCTCGATGACCAGCATGAATCCTACATGTTGCAAGAGCAACAACCTCGGCGACAAGACAAGATCGACCTCCGTGTCCATGCCTGCCTCTACTTCATTCGACCTACCGGCCATACCTTGAAACCCCTGGATATTGAGGTCATGAAGCGGCTATGCACACGTGTCAACTTGATTCCGGTTGTCGCAAAGGCTGATACACTCTCTCCTGCTGACCTGGCCCGCTTCAAGCACCGCATTCGAGCTGTCATCGAAGCACAGGGCATCAAAATCTACCAACCCCCTATCGAAGATGATGACGAAGCTGCAGCACAACATGCCCGTGCACTTATGGCAGCCATGCCTTTTGCCGTTATTGGTAGCGAGAAGGATGTCAAGACCACGGATGCGCGCATTGTGAAAGGCCGACAATACGCTTGGGGTGTGGCCGAAGTGGAGAACGAAGAGCACTGCGATTTCAAGAAACTCCGATCGATCCTCATTCGTACCCACATGCTCGACCTCATCCACACCACCGAAGAGAACCACTATGAAGCCTACCGTGCGCAGCAGATGGAGACCCGAAAGTTTGGTGAAGCCAGGCCTAGAAAATTGGACAACCCCAAGTTCAAGGAAGAGGAAGAAGCACTGCGGAAGAGGTTCACCGAGCAGGTCAAGGTGGAGGAACAGAGATTCAGAGCATGGGAGCAGAAGTTGATTGGCGAAAGAGATCGCTTGAACAAGGATCTAGAGGCGACTCACGCTGCAATCAAACAGCTAGAGCAGGAATTGGAACAGATGCAAGGCAGTGCCGTGAGAAGCCATGGTCGTCGCTAGTCGAGTTCCGGACTGGAAATCAACCGAACTTGACTGGGAGGTCGGCTACGATGGGCCAGGAGCAAGGGTTCTGGCAATTCTTTGCTTCAGGTGCTGTGCTGTGGGATTGTGAGTGTGCTCAAAGCGTGGAGCTCTTTCAGAGATTAGCATTGCTACGAAAATACCTTTCTAATGTCAGATATTTCTTTTGTGGCGGGAGATTTTCTATCTTCTATCGTAGATGGTAATGACGCCGCGTGGTATCTTGAGTCTATCCGTGTTCTCCTTGCGCTGCCATGATTTCTACACACCTGCATTTTTCAATTGCTGCGTGATATGCCCGTTGGCTCCTCTCCCGCCCATTGGATCACGTTTCGGTGTGGTCGCTCCGTTCTCTTTTGTCTTGTCCTTCGTCTGCGAGAAGTCGCCCTCTGCAACAGCTCTGTCCACATCCGCAAATCCCTCATCGATCTCGACTTCCTCGTCCTCGTCGATGCCCATCCAAGCACGCATCTTGTCTCGTTTGAATGCTTCGAAGTCCCACTCTTGCGGCTCCAACGTCTCTTCACCTTCCAGCCATACATATGTTTGTGCTTCGACTTCTTCCAGGACTTCCGGGTCGTTGCTGTCTTCTTCGGGTGCAGCCTGATCCAGTTCCACGTCTTTCAGGACTTGCACCTTCACCACGTCCCTCTTGTACTGGCTGCCCTCGAAGATGTCCAGGCGGTAGATATCACCCTGCGTCAATCCCGTCACCAGGCTCCCCCGTACCCTGGAGTCGGAATGAGGTATGATGGCGGGGTAGTCTGCGTGTTTGACTCTGTGTCGACGGTAGTTCTGCAGCATGGCGGGACGCACGGTGATCAGGTCTTTCTGCCATGCCTCTGGAGTGTGGGTTCCGTGGATCACTCGGTGGAGGACGCCGGGGGCCATGAGCGTGCCTTTTGATGCCTTGGTTAGAAGGAGGAATGTGGGAGGAGAGGGTGATTACCATAGAAAAAGGCCGTGTAGTCGCCCATCCTTCCAGCAAGTCGGTGATTCCACGTAAATTACCTCGTACAGGGCTGGCACTAGTTGAGAAGCGACTGGGCTAGAAGGAAGCCAAAGGGTGTTTGTATGAAGAGATTGGGAGATACTTAGAAGAATATCTGAATATATGGCATGAATCTAGGCTCCCGTATTCCGAGCAAACTCACCCCCGTGTAGCTCTGAGGCGAAAGTCGTGCCGGTTCTTTGCTCTCTACCAGGTGAACCGCCCACTGCCCCTCAAGGCTGGGTGGCTGCAGGTCGATAGCAATCAAGAATTTTCTAAGCAGGAAGGCGCGCCGATATCCGCGCTCGTGTTTGCTCCACACGACGTCTCTCTCACGCTTTTTGGCACTAGTAGCGTCCACCTTGGTTGCTGGATGAACATTTGCAACTCTACGATCATGTGTTGTTAGTTCCTCTATTCGCATCTGTTTACGCGACCATCACTGTGGCGGCTTCATCTCTGTCAAGAATAGTCTGTACAAAGAACTATTTAGCGACGCTTTTTCTCGAGACAGTACCATTCGTCCATATCATGTATCTTCCCGAAACCTCTTAAGCTTGAAAACCCAGTGCTGGGTGCTCTTTATAGTATACATACCTTCAAAGAATCGACTAGATCCACTAGCCACGAGAAATCAAACAGGTGAAATATAGCCTTTAGCTCGATCACAATCACTCTGTGGCATTTTGAATACTGCTGCTCTTCCTTGTTGGAACGCGATGTGATGGCTTCTTTGCTTTCGAGGACATCGCTGTACCAAAGCGACGTGACCATTGATGTAACACTTATGGCTTTCCTGAGTAGACGTTGTAATGGTTACGAGGCTGGTGGTCTAAGGGGGGTCCAGCCTCGTGCGTCTGCCATCCGCTGCCATCCAGCTTGGCAACCTCGAACTTTCCGCAATGGGTAAGCGGAGCCCGTTGTCTTTCCCTTGAATGAGCCTATGGCCTATGTCGGCATTTCCCATGACATCGATACTGGAAAGTATACTAGGTACGAGTCTGCCCGTCAGTCATGTCAGATGCTGACAACTTTAATTCCATCTTCAGTCAATCCCATCATCCCAAACACCAGGAGGAAGCAGGACTATGTATCACCACTGACCTCTCAAGATATCTTAGTTGTCGTGGACATTTGGCCACTGGTGGTTGCTGAGCATGGAATACGCAAAGTTATTAGCACCTTCAACTCCTGGTTGCTCTGAGAACTAGAATCACTTCCCAAGCAGATGTTAGACCTCTCAGGCTGGAAATATAAGGCTGACCAAGATGCGGGAAGGAACGAATATGGTTTTTGCATCTGACTGTGGCCAGCAGGTCGGTCAGCAGGCTGCCTCTTGGCAGGAAAGCGCCCTCGCAATATCCATTGTGTTATCCCAGACACACCGCATCGCTGCGGTGGGAGACTTGTCTCATTATAGAACCAGGGAAATCTCTCCACCTGAGGGAAGCTACGACACTCTAGCCATACTACCACGGCAGAACAAGAAGTGTAGCTAGAAACGATAGTGGGAAATACATTCGAGCATAGCCAGTACGAGATAAATCAAGAGCAGTCAGTCCAACGATGCAGCTCCCAACATTGAGTATAGCCCTGCTGGCTCTTCGGACACTTGGTGTTTCTGCCGCAGCCTTGAAAGCGCGGGTATGTTCCTGATCATCCCTCTCGGGGTTTGTGGGTTGTTGACTAAATTTGAGGATTACAAGCTCACACATACTCAGATCGACTATAACCTCGCTGGAGACGACTCACAGTTGGCTATATGCGGTTCCAAGCTGCGCAGCCGAGTGTGAAACCCTCTGTTCCGATCCCATCACCCTGCCATGTTCATCGCGCCACTAACACCCTTACGATCCTCGTCTGGGAAGACGACACTCTCCCTCTCGGCCTGACCTCCATTACCATCGGCACCGCGACCACCGCGACCGGAACCACCGTCCCCCTCACTGTTACAGTCTCGCTCAGAGGCAGCGGCACCACGGTCTTAGACAGTCCTCTCAAGAGCGCCACCCTGGTTTCCAGCGTCGTGCATGATTCGTCTCTCGCGGCGTTCTCGTCTGCCGAATGCATTTTCTACGCCGGCAGTGTAAATCTCGGGCACGGGGCGTCCGCGTCTATTGTTGGTATCGTGGCATCGGCATCGACTCATGACGACGGCTCGAAGGTGACGTTCGATGAAGTGGTTTGTATGACTTGCAGCTACTCTTGACACGTGAATGATGGTCAAGACGTGTTGTGGAACAAATGCCGCCCTGTATTGTTGGGTTTGTACTTCTTCCGCCAAAATTTCATGTCAAGATAAAAACGCATGAATCGAATATGAGAAACGATGGCGAAAAGATGGATTCGGAAGATGGACTGTATATCCAAGAAGCAGACATAAAGGATAACAATTCATTCGATTGTATCAAGCATAAAGCATAAAGAAGTGCTAGGCAGGATATCAGTATGAAAAGCAATGCCGAACCTCGTAAACCTCGTCTCAATCAATGACAATAACCAGCAGCCCTTCCGTGACCGCATCCCTGAATCCTTGAAAAGCAGTCCTAGAACAATAGTCCACCAAGAAGCAAACCTCCAAGCAACCCTCCCGCAATGGGCAGTCCATATCCACCTCCCGGATAAGCGCCGTATGGACGATTATAGGGATAGCCTGGTCGAATAAATCTGGCGTTGGGGTCCGCATATGGTCCGCTTGAATAAGGGTTGACACCATAACCCCTTGGTCCGTATCCGCCATATCCATAGCCAGGACCCCCGGGAGGCTCCACGTAGATGTTCTTGCCGTCTCTGTCTTTGGCGAAGAACTGAGGCTGACCTGTCATTTGTGCTCGCTGCATAGCTTGTCGCAACCTCATATGTGCTTCGTAATATTGTCTCTCTTCTTCTGCGCGTTGCGCACGACTGCGCACACGTTCCTCGTGCGTTGTGCCGGTGACTTTATCTTTCAGTTTCTCGCCAAAGGTCTTCTTTTGACCGGCTTGTTGTGAGGAGGATGGCCGGGCGGGGAGTTCTGGTGGGTATTGTTCGTCTTCGGAGTGGTCGGCGGAATGTGGTGCCTGTCTTCTCAACCTATCCTCTTCTTCTTGCAGTCTTTCGCGTTCCTCTGTGCTCAAACCCTTCAGGACTTCGGGGATATCTAACGGGTGCTCCCAGTATGATTTGGGTGGCTCGACATTTGTGTTCACGAAGAACTGGTGGTTTTCCTTGGGATCGTACTGCCGTACCCACCCTTCGGGTAAAGGTCTCTGAAGGTCCTCCATCGAGCGGCGGGCTTCTGTTGGGATCCCATTTTTTGCAGACGGCACTTCTAGGTGGGATGATTTCTGTGGTTTCGAGGACGTTGTGGCCGAAGAGCCAGTAGCCTGGTCGTAGGTTGGTGGGGGTTCTGCTGGCGCGGACATGTTGAGTGTAGAGATAGAAAGTGTAGGACAGGTTCAGAGTCGGTAGGGTGGTAGATTTAAATGCCTACTGCTAGCTGCCTGCGGAATCAGGGAGATGTGCAGAGAAGTGAGAAGCGCGACAGAAATACAAATCGCGGGTTGAGGCTCAGACGGTGATAGTGACGCAGATGGCCCTTCTCGGAGTAATCGGGAGCTGTGGTGCCTGAGAAACTGACCAATCAAGCTCACATTATACAGGCTCAGCCACACTTGATCCACCAATGAAATCCCGGAAACGGAGAGACTGTGGCGACCTCGCTTGACCCAATCAGGCGTCATGTTGCGAGTCGTGCGAGTCCAAATCCAACCTCCAAACTTCCTTCGTTGCTTGCTTTACATCCTTTCACAGAGCTCGCCACCATCGTGTTCGTCCGAGGACCTTGAAGTCTCTTTTTCGAATGTGAATTGGGACAACTTTGTCCTCGAATCTGCAACATGCAACCCACACAAATACCTCAGCGCCGCTGCGCTAGAAGTGGACACGAACAGCGATTCCATCATCCTAATGTGCTTACCTCGCTAGTGCCATCTGAACCAAACCCACGATAGACTCCAACGAAGCTTGTGTTGAATACACATGTAAGGAACAACTTTGCAGGCTCAGGATCGGCGATCCGCTTTCGAAACGCCCTTGGGTTGGGCGAATTCGCGACCTCGAAGAGAAAGGCTGCCCTCTATGCAGGGTCTTCTGCTCTAACATTCTGTATTCCATATTACCTGTAGGATCGCTATACTAATGGCTAGAGCTATAAGGCACCATTGACCACCAGGACCCCAAAATCCCTACCGAAATTAAATATACAACTCCTGGTTCGGCGAGCTGCACCGTAGCAGACGATGCATTCAGCCGCGGCGACAACAGTAACATGATGCCTGGCCACTATACAAGCTCTGAGTTTTTTTACTACCGCCAAGAGATCAAAATGATTCAGGAGACAATGCTCACGCTGGGTGAAGGTCGAAGAGCTTGGCAAATGGAGGTGAAGACAACCTGGCTCATCGTCCACGACCAGTGATTCTGCCACACCCGATGTCAATTTTGGATCACTATACATTCACTTGACAGGCTTCTCTGTTTATCTGCCAAGACTATCTCCTGTCAACCAGAGGTCACAATCAATTTCGTTCCAATATCCTCTCCTGAAATTCCAGTCTGCCAAACCACACCTACCTCTTGTACAAGCCTTCTTCATCGTCTTCAACTTCTTGATCAACCTTGAATCTACAGCTTGCAGCCTGTTCCATAGAGATCGAATCTCGCAACGTTATCCGGGGGAAAGCAGCATCTTGCTGCTTGTCCCTCGGCAAGTTTCCACTGACACAATGAGAGCCGAAGCCGTGAGCTTCGTGTTCGAACACGTGTTCCTTCCCCCGAAACTACCACAAGAACATCACGGCGAATCAGGCGCTAATGATCTCCTGAAAGAGATCTTAGATGCCGCGCGCGACTTTACGCTTTCCTTTTCTGTCTATAGGCACGAGCGCCCCATCTGGAGGCGACTCTCACGCTCACTAGTCAAGTGGGTCGACATCTACCACCAAGGTGCCCCATGTCGCGAAGTCGTTACTAGTACCCTTGAACATAGGCATCAAGATGGTGAGAGCTTTTACAAGGATCATCAGTCACTGCTAATCAGCCTTCCAGATGTTTTGCTTTTCTACATTCAACCCCAAAATGCCGCCATCCTGATTCGAAGCAAGCCAAACGGAGCCATCTTCGAGTGCTTTGAGGTGCTTGCAAAGACTGATGCGGTTCTCAGTGCTAAAGACGCCGTCATTCGACACTTCCCAGCACGATCGGTATTTTTGTCGAAGTCGAAACTCGAGGATTCTTCCTTCATCAAAAGCCTTGGAGATGCCATCTATATGCTGTCAGTTGAACCATTGAAAATGGCTATGGAAACCACGAAGAAGGCAAACAATACTGTGGTTGAGGAGCGGCAATCTGCCCATCCTCGAGCAGTCTCCGAGTGGCTGTTCAGTGTCTTGGGTGGCTGTGGAAAAACGGCGTCGAGTTTGCCCATCCGCAAACGCGTTCACGATGATGTTTGCTGGAAAAATGCCCACTTACCTTGGCGCCGGTCAGGTGTTTGGCTAGCTGCCAAAGTTGCCCTTCACATCGCCCTCGTCAACGCAGACCTCGAAGGTGAGGGACATTGCCATTACAAAAACTTCATGTTATTCTTCTTGTCTCGGATAGCAGCTGGTATTGCGGCCATCGACAATAGACCCGACGTTCTCCACGTCCTGCGTGTGAAATTGGCTAGGCGAAATGCCAAACTGGGACTGTTCACGCTGGGATTTGTCCAAAAAGCCGTCAACTCGACCCTAGACCTACTCGACAACAGTATCCGCAGTCAATGGGCCGAGACTGTCGATAGAGACAAAGTTGTCGTTCGACCTGTCCCTCTCACCGAAGTATCAGACCACCTGGTGTTGAAGAACAGTTGCTCCATAATACACAACATCTGGAGTCGCTCTCGAAAAGGTTTCAAGTACTCACTCACTTCTTACACCCCTCCGTCATCCGGTAGAATGGTGTTGTCAAAGTACCAACTACCGGAAGTCGAGATCTTTACACAGGCTAAAGACGTCCTCTTTTGTCTTGTCGACTTTGAGCTCTGGGTTGAGGAGTGTTTGAGCAGCTGGATAGCGGTCAACGCGTCCACTACAGCCGCATGCCGCAGCCTGTATGGACTGATACAGAAGTATTATGCTGTAGCCAAGAAGAACTACCAGCTACATGCGGAGCGAATGTCCATTATGCTCCTTACGGTGTTCGAATTGTGGATGGCCCTGGACATCATTGCAACTACTTCATATCCGCTCCTCTTGGAGTATCCACAGGAGATTCCTGTCACTCTCTTTGGACCTCTTCTTCTCAGCAATCGAACTGAACTGGACAGACTGTCAAAGGTGGAACTCTACATCAAATCAAGACGATCACGGTGTGCCCACACCAGCCCTTCTCTCTTCGTCGATCCGTCACCAGGCTGCTTTGCTGTGAGATTTTACGACCAATCTTCTGATCTGCAGGCGCTACGTGCTACGGTCGAAGAAGATGCTCATCAAGCACGGAGAGCCAAGTCTGACGAGTGGGAGTCGAAAAAGAAGACATTTGACAGAATGATGAGAGAAGTCGATGGAATGAAATGTGGCGTCTTCATCCCCAAAGGGATCGACAGGTACGGAAAGCCATATGTTGGCAGGCCTCGACATGACAAGAAATGCCAGAAATGTAAACAGGAACAGCAAGCCAAGGACCTCCAGATATCCAAACACGAATGGCCTCTCCCAGACGACGAGACCCTGTGCAAAACAGTGATCTTTGAGCTTGCCGCCCCCGAAGCGATTGTCTCCTGGCGAGATGCCACATTTTTCTTGCTTCAAGATGTTTGCAGAACCCCCCAAGTCACCGGGTCGGCGTCCAAGCAGGGACTACTCTCGTACGGACCACTTGAGAAGTACGCCCAACGGAGAAATCGACGGATCACTCTGGCATCCTCTGTAAAGCCCGTTCTGAAATCACACTATCTCAAGGCCTCATTAAATGTTGACCCCGTCTTGGTCAGCAACGGCCTTCGCCCTAGGATGCATGATGCTTCGAATCCGGCTCTATGGACAGCAGACCAGACCGGAAATCCTTCGTTGCGAAGCTATTGCTATATCAAACTCCCAGACTCTCCAAACAGTGTCTTTAATGGCTATGTCAACTTCACCAGCCATACACAAAACCAAGTCATCTCTCAACAGTCCAAGTGCCCTA